GCCCCCTCCCCTTCAAATCTCTATGATTCATGAATTACCAACCATGCCATACCATACCGTATCATACCATATCAAATCCTGCTCCATATCCCATCAAGCAATACCCACAACTTTAACGCCTCCTGAATGCGAAACCCCTATGCCCCAACTCCAGCCCGAAATACTTTGTGTATATGACATGCCATGCCATGCCATGCCTTGCCTCAGCACTCCACTTTTGTCTCCCCTCTTATGTTCTCATGTGACATGTTCTCCCACGTTTCTGTTCTTATCTATGATACGTAATCCGCTTCTGCCACCCCGAATCACCATATATCATTACGCTAGACTTTGAATAACGTAAAATAGCAGAAAAGCCTGTTCATTTAACACTTGACTCTTGCTAGCCAATGTAACATTATGGTCATTGAACTTAAACCATTGATTTCCCACTCGAGAGTAGGATACATAGTGTCCTATTTGTACACCTCTGATTAGCAATCTCATCACAAACATACCTCCCACAATATAGGGGGTGGTGAAGGATAACAAGGAAAGAAGTGCTTGCTCACCAGTCTCTAAATTTCCGACATGGACCACAACACTTTGTAAATCATAAGTACACGACCTGGCCAATTCAAAATTATTCTTTGTATCTTGACCACGAGCTCGATTGGTATAAGGAAGCATATGTAGCTGAAGTGGAAAAGTGACAGTGGTATCAATTTTTGAAGCTAGGCCTCTAGGATCTTGTTTGAAGCGCTATTTCGTGTTAGTTCGGATTAGACTGTGATCTAATAATAGGATAAAAAAAAAGTTACCTTGAGCTGAATACACAATACGTTTGGTAGACTTTTGATACTGAGTTGCTTTTTTGCCTCCTGAGTATCGCATTGATGACATGAATATTCACATCGTTCAGCCCGAATGTACTCTTCATCTAGGCAACGTTGGAGACTGATGGTGCCAGAAGCTGCCTTTAGCTTGCTCTTTTTCTGAATAACATCAAGACCTAAACTTAGATCGAGAAAGGACTCGACTGATGTGTTTACGTCCCCACAATTTTGGCAGGTGATAGTACTTTGAAGCTTCCCATAGAAAGTCTGATGCACAATACATTTGCAGCCTTGATCCATTTTCGACCGTTTAGGATTGGGACTGCTATCTTCCCGATCGCTTGCTCGTGACCCGCCATTGATTTCGTGTAATTCTTCTGTAAGAAATTGAAAGAACTCATGAGCGTCTTGCTCTTTGTTACTTGCTAATTCTTCGTATGCTTTTCTCTTCGAAAGCCAAAAGCTGGCAAGTATATTCGAAGCTGAGTATCCTGTTGTAATCTCTTGAGAGTAGAAATCTTGAAACATATCATCCATAGCGCAACTCATACAATTCTTTTGTTCGCATTCGCTTGCTTGGTGACCATCTCCGAGATAAAAATTTCGAAGTAGAGGATTATGAACGAAGGACTGAAGAATGACGTTCATGTAACAGGTAGCCCCCATGTTATAAATACCCCTCACACCACTTGCTCTACAAGGAGCGGACATGGTATTTGTGGATATAAATCTTGGGTCCTCTTTTGTAGCGTCGGTAAAAAGCTCATCATGTTTTCGTTTTCGACCTGAAGAGAGAAGCAAATCAGTATGTTGCGAGGAGATAGATTAAATACAACGGATAAGGAGGAATGAGACATGGTATAATGTGAACCAGAACGGAGACATTTTGACGATTTAATATGCAGCTGTATAGGAGTGTAGCCAGTGTCGCTGGAAAGTTCATAATCAAGGCTTGCCATAACGAAGCTTGGGGGAGGCATATAACTCGTATGTGACTTACTAGAAAAAGAGCCAGTCCCAGTCTTTCTCACTCTTAACTCCTCTAGTGTAGGATCCCATACAAAATCATTGCACATTTGGCAAAACAAAGCCCCCGTCCTCGATTCAACATCTAATTTGCCACCAATTAGCGAGCGAAGTTGTAAATACTTGCACCACAATCTAACGTACAAAATCTATGCGAAGTTTCCTGACCATGCTTCATATGATCCTGCGCCGTAGCCGTCCGGTCACATTGTAAACAGAGGTAATTTGGCGTCAGAGATGTGAGGGGCGGGCCTTTGAGAGTCTTAGATGTTTGTGGAACAATTGGAGTATTATCTAGAACCACTCTCAAACAATTCTTATAATATGTAATTGTATTCCTCATACGTTCCTCATTATCCGGGTTCAAGAGTAGTTGAATATGCACTAAGACGCCATATTAGCAATTGAAGAGAAGGCTGAGAATGCGACACGAGTGGATTGCGAAACATACGACAGCCATATTTCGGAACCCCAGGTTGTGGTGATTTGATCTTTATATATCGAGGAGAAGCTGGAGTTACTGGTCTAGAAGTAGACATTTTTTAAAAATGTGTAGATCTCCTACAATTGTGACAAATCGTAGATTCGTTGATGGATTTTTGATTTCTTGATATATAATAATAGTGATTGATGATGCTTAAATTGGCTGAGCCTTGCGGAAAATCGGGCGGGCGGTGAAATTTATAAGTGGCATTATTTTAAGGCTATTTTCGAGCTATTTGTTTTGTCCCCTATTGAACTATTGTAATTGTAACAAGTCTTACCCTAGTGCACCCACAAACAAATACATGTTGTGATCCAAATGTACCTGGTTACCAAACGGTTTTCTTCTCACGTTATCCAGTGTTAGGTATTACTAATATTATGATATGGTCGAAGTAGCAGAAACTTTGTATATCTTCCTTTTTTCACTTGTATTCTCAAGCTAATTAGACTTGCCATGTCTATGTCAAGTCAAATCACAACCCAAAACCATAAAAGAATAGCAAACCAATCTCCAGACTGAGCCTATTATAGATAAATACCTTTATACTCTCCTAGCAATCCTGGTACCAGCGTATCATAACTACCTAATCAATCCATTCCATCTATACAAAACACCATTTAACCATCAGCTCAAAAGACAAAAATGTGATATTTTACTTTACTAAGTTCACAAGTGGTCATGCTTATCAAAACAGTCCATCAATGAACCGAGGCTTATCGGCATTGCATCATTTTCAAGACCATCTACTCACCATCGAACAATGTTCCTTTATCCACCTTTATGATATCTCTCAAAAATATCATCAAGAAAATGGCAACTCAGCTAGTGTCCCTGCCGGACGTCGAAAGATTAAGTCCTACCGTAATCCGAATCCTTGGTGGAAATCCAGGAAAGGTGAGGATTGTGAAACGGGAGTCATATTAGGCATTGTCAGCTGATATCAAATAGTTTACTCTGCAAGGTACATGAACGATCTGAGGAGTATGGAATAGGTAGTTCATATTTTCTAATAATGGTGTAGGGACAAATACGTATCTTGTTGGGAAAGGGAAAAATCGATTGTTGATTGATACAGGGGAAGGGAGGGAAAGTTGGATTAGGAATTTAAAGGAAACTTTGGAAATAGAGCAAGCTACGATTAGCTCTTGTATTCTCACGCATTGGTAAGAGCTTATTCACGTTGATTTGCAACTCGACCACTAATCAAAGATGCAGGCACCATGATCATGTGAAGGGAGTTGACCACTTATTAGAGTACTCGCCGGAAACCATCATCCACAAAAATCGTCCAGGTGAGGGACAAACGGATATAAAAGATGGTCAAATATTTTCAACAGACGGCGCAACTCTCCGTGCGGTTTATTCGCCTGGTCATACTCAAGATCACATGGCATTAATACTCGATGAAGAAGACGCCATGTTCACCGGAGATAATGTCCTAGGGCACGGTACCGCAGTCTTCGAAGACCTGACGACTTACTTGAACAGCCTTGAAAGAATGAAGGGCGTTTTTAGTGGTAAAGCATATCCAGGACATGGAGCAGTTATAGAAGATGGACCTGGTAAAATTGGAGAGTATATCAGACACAGAAAGGAAAGAGAGTCCCAGGTTATCCAGGTGTTGAAGTCTGCAAAGAATAGACCTGGGGTCATTATTACCAGAGATGAAGAAGCTGATGAATGGACCTCGATGGAGATCGTGAAGATTATATATAGGGATGTACCAGAGAGCCTTCACGTGCCAGCGAATGGTGGCATTGTACAAATACTAAACAAGTTGCAAGCGGATGAGAAAGTGGTCAAGGAGCAAGATAGATGGAAAATAAAGGCGCGAGCCGCTCTTTAAATGTACTTGATTCTTTTATGGAGATAAAATACTCTTTTAGCCATTCGTATACTACTTCTCTCCATCTGGCTTTCTCCACGTCCAGTGTTCGCATTCAAAATTAGCGAAACAAAAGAACTCATTACTCAACCCCTTTGCGTGCACAGGAAGAAAAGTCGTAGTTGCAATACCTTGTCTATTTGATATGAGTCAATATACCACAAAAAAAGCATTGAACACTCACGGTCGATAAAGCTTATTCACAATCTCTCCTACACGCTCACCGGTACATACGATGAGTTTCGACGGCGACGCAGATTGTTCTTGACCCCATGACATCAACGATTCGTTTTGGCCCCATGACTTTGAAAGCCATCGAACAGTTAAAGATGCTAGAAAAATCAACTTTATATCCTCTGGAGCCTATCCACAAACAGAAGGATTACATACCTTTAGTTTGGCACTCCTCGCTCAAAAAAGGCGGATCGCAAATAACACGATCAGCACACCCCTTCAAATGCGCTTCCTGTCTATCAGTAAAAGTCCAGCCGCATGTCAACCCAAGCGCTTGTAGAACTCACAAGGAAGCTTCAACGGATTATTAAAATCATAGAAGCTAAACTCAGGAAAAACCCCAAACCTCTCATCAAACTCCAACAAATGAAGTTTCGGCCTCTTCTCTACCGGCCACCCTGCCTTCCCAATGTTAATCTCCTTGCCCACACACGTTCCAAGCCAAAAAGAAATGAACTTACAACAATATTCTTCAACTGGATAAAAACACTCGGAGCCGAGACAACAGCAATAACCGTCTCAGCAACCGCATCTCTCAGGAGTTCCTGCGCAAGAATTGTAGCTGTCTCATTGGAATACTACATCTCCATATCATGAGCACTCTAATTCACCCATCTCAAAATCTCAAACAGAACAATGCAATTCAAGAAAACTGACCCAAAATTGCGATTCATTCCAATCCTCAGCAAAAGCATCCATAGTTAACGGAACACCATCAGCCTGATCTTCAGCCCGCTGCTTCAAGGCTTCGAATTTTTGCTGATGCGCATCTCGATCTGCGTAAAACTCTTTCAGCGCATCCAGCGCTGATCCCGATAGAACGCTATTCGTGCTTTCGTTAGTGATGTTTTGGATATTTTTGTAATTGCAGTGAGCTTACGGAATATCGTCTTCGTCTGTGTTCTCCATTGTTGGTATTTGAAGTTATTTTCAAGGAACGTGATACGGTAAAATTGCGACGGGGTTTGAACTTTGGAGGGGTAAAAATGTGGGGCTAGAGAGGTCTCTTCAACTACTTCAAACAAATTGATGAAATTTATTGATACACACAAACGGAAATCGGAATGATTTGGAAAAAGCGGTTTTCTCATTCCATCTCAATTTCAAAAGAAGATTATCGTCTTTGACCGGTTGTTCAAAATCCAAATATCACATACAACAAAAAGTGTTTTCAAATAAATTTGGCATATGTACAATTCGCATGTTATTATGAATACATCCCATAACCAGAACCAGTCTTCTACTGGTCATCAAGGACATGCAAATATTTCTTCTCTTCCCTCCTCTCACGCTCCGTTGATGGGGGCAAATCGTAAAATGCAGCACTTCGGTATCCCAACTATTTAAAATTAGCATTGCTTCATTGAAGTTTCCATAGAAGAGTGTACATACTAGGTAGTGGAAAGTAAGACTACTGAGCTCTGCTGGCTCGATTCCAAGGTCTTTGAACGTCTTCGCGGAAGGATCAATCTTTTGGTCAATGAATTCCCGCTCAACCTCATCGCCAGAGAGAACAGGCCACCAAAGAGCTTTGTTCAAGACTTCAGCAATTGGCTTGAGGATCTTCTTTGGTAAGTTGATATGTCGGCGACGGCTGTTAATTTCCCTATCCACCAAGGCAGCAATTTCGGCTGTTGAGTAATTCTTGGGGCCATAGAGCTCATATGTTTGGGACGCAGTATTGTCATCTTGAAGCATTTTCTCAAGTGCTTGGCCTACATCAGGTGCCTGAAGATATTATTAGCGGAGAGCCATGTAGAGAGAAGATTTGAAACATACGTGGACTGGCCAATAACGCTCTTGCATGTGGTTAGATGTAAGGACATTGGTGAATCCTGCAAGTTTGTGGAGAAGACGATCCTCGAAACCAAACAATGGAGCAGGTCTCACAATTGTGGTCTCTGGGAATATACTGCGTACGACTGCCTCACCTCTTGCCTATGGAAGGTATGTCAACCATGTGAACCAATACTTTGAAAGGGATACATTATATACCTTCGTTCTGTAGAACTCGGAGGGTGAATTAGGGTCCGCATTGTAGGAAGAAACGTGGATGAATCTATCCACGTCATATTTGGCAACGGCATCTGCAATTCGCTCCGCTCCTTCAACGTGTACATCCTCGAGATCGAAGTTCCTGAAATTAGTGAGCATTCATCTCCCATCTGATCTTGTTTTGATGCATACTTGGTGGGATAATTACGTCCAACAAGGTTGTAGACTACATCAGAGTGCCTAACACTTTCCTCCAAAGATTGAGTATTTCTCAAGTCGTATTCCTATCGAGAATCAGTCAGCCTGACAAATATAATGTCCCATAATCATCTGTCGTACCATGAATATGACTCTACCCAAATCACCGGAAACCTTCAAATGACGTTTGGCCATTTCTTCCCGGAAAGGAACGATAACAGTGCATCCTTGTTTTGCTAAACCACCCTCGTCAGTCCAAGCTGCTCTACAATATACATAAAGATTTTCGTACCGAGTCTGTTCACAATATAACGTCCGAGGAATCCAGTCGCACCAAAGACCGTTGCGGTATGTCCTGTAGATTCAAATTAGGCTTGTGCTGATTGCGGTTTTTGTGGATGATATACCTCCAAGAGATGATCTAAAGAACGACACATCAGCAAGAGCATCCACAGGACTGAGAACCAGAGTACAAGAGCTCACCTGCCACCCTGGGTACGAATAATGGGCTTTCCGGTCCTTGTAATAGTGACATCAGATAACTTCCTGCTCAGAGGTACATTTTTGATGCCTCTTTCTGATCGCACAGCAGTCCGCAGACTGCTCAAAGTCGATGGACTGCAGGATTTCTGCATTATTGCGACTGAGTTACAAATCAATTGAATCGCAGACGCAAATGCAGTTGGCAGGGTTCAACTTCACTTGATGTTGAAGTTGTCGATTGACATCGCGGGATTCCAGCCGCGGATTAACCTAGTCTAAATAAGGTTAGGTCCGACCTTGCGCAGCTCTCTCGTTGCCTCGCCTTGGACATATCAAAACTCCAACTAAACAGCTTCAATTTCAAACATTTACAAACACAAAAAGATACCCAAACAATACCACCTTTATTGATTTTGAGGGGTGTATACTAGGTAGTTCGATATCAGAAATCAGGAACAAACCAATTCTACTTCACCTCACCCCGCACTCAATCATCATGAATGCCGACGCAATCCCCGACTTTCTTGGGGAGCAACGCGATGCTGCGCCAGCAGACCTTCAACACCTTTTCTTATCCTTCGAAGATCTGTGGGAAAAGAAGCTGTGGCATCAACTGACGGATACTCTTGTTGAGTTCTTCAATCACAAAGAAAGCGCTTCCCAACGATTACCGATATACAAAACATTCATCCTCACATTCGCCGATAAGATCAACCAGTTGAAGCTTGTTACTCTTGCTTTAAGCGCAGCTTCGCAGTGTAAAGGTAATAGACTAATCCTAAAGGCTGTAAAATAAATGCTAACCTAGCATTAGACAGTCAAGAGCGCTTGTCTTTCCTGGAGGCTGTAGCAAAGAAAGTCGATAATCCAAATTCCCAAGATGCATACGTATACGCAACTGTGGCCGTGGCTACCGTCAAATTAGAACTACAAAATCAAGATGGGGCGAGGAAGGATTTGGATAAATCAGAAAAGATATTAGATGGATTTGACTCTGTGGAGACAATCGTACATGCTGCTTTCTACCGGGTTAACGCAGAGTACTATCAGTCCAAATTGGAATTCGCATCGTATTACAAAAACGCCCTGTTATACCTAGCCTGTATCGACCTCAATGATCTCACCCCCTCTGAGCGCAAAAGCCGAGCCTACGATTTGAGTATTGCAGCACTTGTATCCGACACGATTTACAACTTTGGTGAGCTCCTTCTCCATCCTATCCTCGACACTCTCGTAGAGGAGGACGCCTGGCTCCGAGATCTCCTCTTCGCTTTCAACCGTGGCGATCTTGCCGCCTACGATGTACTCGCCGGTCACATCACTTCTAACCCTCTCCTCGCACAACATCGCGACGCACTTAAACAAAAGATCTACCTCGCCGCCCTCACTGAAGCCGTTTTCCGTCGCCCTCCTCACGACCGTGCCATGACGTTCCGTACAATCTCTGAAGAAACAAAAGTCCGTCCTGACGAAATTGAGCATTTGATCATGAAAGCTTTGAGCTTAGGTTTATTGCGAGGAAGCATTGATCAGGTGGACGAAATCGCACGTATCAATTGGGTACAACCTAAGGTATTGGACATGTCACAAATTGAGGGTATGCGTACACGACTAGAGGAATGGGATTCCAGCGTTAACTCACTGGGTAACTGGATCGAGTCGAAAGGTCAGGATGTGTGGGCAGCATGAGCAGTAAAATCATGAATGGAAAGACAAGAATGGCGTCTCGGCTTGCATGGGACTGTAAAATAGATATTCCCTCTCCTACGTGCATGCCTGTGGGCAGTTGCATTTGTGCTGAGAAAGCATAAAATGATATATGAGAAAAATACCCTTGCTATTTTATATTTCCAACTTCGCAGATTACGATGCATTACTACCGTCATCATAACTACATCGTGTAACCAAATAGTCACCTTATCTTTTCTCTAGTCCATCCCTCACCTCCCCCACCTTCCCTTTGACCGCATACGCACTCCCATCAACCCTCTCATCTTCCTCATCCCTCGGCTTTCCAAAGAGCAAGATACCACCCACCACCCACGCAGGCCACCAAACACACCAAACCACCACCTGGGTCGTCATCCCCCAAACATCCCAACCAAAAGCCGCTTCTACCAAAACATCTCCCACATCCAAACCCCAATACTTTGCTCCCACAAGCAATACAGTTGAAGGCGCTAATACACCTAGCAGTATAGCGAGTATAGAAGCGAGGATGGGTTTGTGGCCCAGTGGACGAATGTATGATAAGGGGGTGGATAGGATACCGATGAGGATTGAGAGGGAGAAGTTGAGGGTAGCGAGGGAGGAGAGGTACATGCCGAGGAGGAGGAGGGAGAAGGATTGGATGAGGGATAGTTGGTGGGGTGTGGGGGGTGTGCAGTATCTGGAATGGAGGAGGGTGGAGAGGGCTAGGGGGAGGAATGTGTTGAGGATGGAGAAGACGATGAAGACTGCAGGGAGGTTCTGAGAGGATATATAATGTTAGTTTATGGTTACGTGAATTTGGTAAGGGGACGGAGGGAGGAAGATAGAAACGTACGGCTTTAGATGTATGGTTAAATATGGAAAGAGGAACAAGTCCTAAGAATTGACATCCAGCTACAACAGCTAGAGGTAGAAAGAGTTTGCGTTCGCGGACTTGGAGATCTTTTTGTGGGATGAGTGCCTTTGCATCACCGGCTTCCACGATCACTAAAGGAGTCTTCTCCTTCTCTTCGCCCTTTTCCGTAGACATCAATGATTTCGTCTTCGCAGGACTGGGCCAACCACTTTTCACCCATAGGTAAATAGCCATAATAGTAAAGTTTGTAGCCACAAGCATAGCACTTGGGAGATAAGTTCCGATACTCACGAAGCGATTAGCTTGCATCAATAAATAGAAGAAGAAACTTTGATGGAGATGTTCCAACAAGTTGTTCAGACTTCGAAATGTACTTTCGATTACTCTTCCCATGGCCATCTCATCTTGCCAACCATCTCCAAATGGTTGGAGTGTGATGGCATCCACATGATATGGAATAAAACTGCTATGAGGTCCCGAAGCATGACCTAATCCTTGATTGATCATACCGCGTAACATAGTCTTGAGTCGATCTTGGTAGCTATCGCTGTGCTGCCACATTTTCTGTAATGAGACTCTGATACCCATTTGGCCACTAGCAATTGAGACTACGGTGTTGAAGAGATCGAGATTAGGAAGTTGGCCGTTAATTCCATCGTAGACGATATGGATCGATTCAAAGCGATGATCAAACGGATAGTCAATCACAACAGCTCCTTGAAGAGCTCCACTCTTGACAGGCAGCGATTCAACAGCAGGCGACTGGTGAGTATCGTGATAGGCATCAACCCAAGCCTGAGGACCAGCTTTACTATCCGCTGTAATGAGGAATATAATATCCTTTGACCACAAAGACCAACGATTGAAATATCTCGCCAGAGTAAGAACCAAAGGAACACCACTTCGATTCAACTCTCCATCAATATTTCTCCAAGCCGCTACCAACACAATTGCTTCTGTGGCATCACCTCGAGGTGCATGTAAAATCGCATACACATTCTCTCCTCTGTGAATCTCACCCGCAGATTTATACTCGTACTTTTGTCTCGCAACCCTAAGTCCCGTAGCTTTGAAGAATTCCTCCAGTTTATCATTAACTCTGTACGCCAACATCAGCTTCATATCCTTCAATCGTAATGCGCTGCGGCAGCTTTCACACATACTCAACATTACTACTTTCCCCCAAAGCGTCAATCTCCCTCTTGTACCCTCGAAAAACATTCTGATCACTCCCCGCAAAATAGGTATGAACTTGTCCTGGCAGAAGAGCATTTTCCGAAACATAAGTATTCCTCGAGTAATCGTTCAAAGGTAGAAGTAGCAGCCATGCAACACCTATGGCTATGCAAAGAAAGGATAGATATGGTGGTAATTTGCGAACCGGCGCATATCGCAAGACGGTGGATGCTTGTTATTGTTAGAATTATGGTCTATATCAAATACAAATACGTACACAGTAGCCCCATGGCTCAAAAAAGAAATCCTCACGAAGTCCGGAGCGTTGTCTTTATTACATTGGAAGCTCGAAACTTAGGTGGGTTGTCAGCCTTGCCAAAATGTACCAGAATTGAGACGAGGTTCGGGAGACGCGAAATCAGGAGCCGACGCGAGAGATTTTGGTTTAAGGTTAAGTTTCCGTCCGAAGGAGACAAAAGTTTCCCGGAATTTATTAATGTTCATCATAGCATGGGACAACTGATTTTACATCTAATTCACTGCTTTAGAGTTCAGACAGGTACTGTGAAAAATGAATAACTTCGAGCGCAACCTGAACAGCTCCAAATGGTTTTGTCTAGTTATAAAGTTGTCATTAAAAAGCATACAATCATAAATTGACCGTATGCCTTAAGCTATCAGCAGTCTATCTACCTGAAGCAAAAGTAGAAACCAAAGCCGTATATCATATTCCATTTCCACCAATTTTAAAAAAAAAAAAAAGCATGACCGCTCCCAGAACATCTGAACTCCGTAATTATGCGTAGTCTTTGTACATAGAGAAGGGAAACCATTGCTTCATAAGTACAATATTTTAAGGTCCCAATCGCTGTGCTTGGCCAGAAAATCCTAGCGCAATGCTTGTGTCGGATGAGATGATTGGATTGTTGGTGGTAGGTAATAAGCCATATCTTCCAACAGTTTTTTGGTCGACGGAAACGTAGTGTGGTAATCTACCCAAAAGATTCATTTTTCCTTCAATCCATCTTAGGATCTTCTCTGGCGGAGCTAAGAATTTGAGATAACCCAGGCCCCCTATAAAAGTTAGTTAGCGGTCCAAACCATGGCATAAGAGGGGCACTAACATCCGTAACCAAAAACAAGTCCGCAAAGGTGACCAAGGAAGCTGGTATGTGGTACCAAGAAGGAGATGAATAGCGTAAGGATAATTGGTGTTGTCCACGTTGGAATTTGGACTGTACCCAATACGAAATTTGGGTTTGTTTTATATGTCTTGATCGCTTCCATTGCAAGTAGGGTGAAAACCCAGATACTGAGGTCTTTGTTAGCAAGAATTTCTTAGCAGAATTTGATGTATATTTCTCTTACCTGGCACCCATCACTCCTGTGTTCATATGGAAGATCCCCCTTTCTACGAATGTATATATTAATGCAGGAATCGTCGACAAAGCTACAACAACCATTAGCTCTACCTTCCTGATATCATCATCTTCGAGAGAAACCTACGGCCCATAAATAATGCCAATGTAGTCAAAGTCCCATATTCTGCCTCAAATCTCTCCAACAATGGAGTTAGAGCAATGATATTCATTATCATGTGTATGAACCCCATATGTATCAATGGGAAAGTATTCGTGCGGTACACTATAATAACGTCAAATTAGCTTCATGATCGGGAATAACAAGTCGATTATTGTATGAGATGGTAGATTTACTTGTCTGCAACCCAATCTCATTTGGGTACAAGCCGCCCCATTTCTGTAAATCCCAAGCTGACTGCAAACTGACAAGCCATAGTATGAATATGATGGCTACTATACATCTTGTGAACAGAGGTAAACGGAGGATGTATGATCTTAGCCGGGTTGCGCCGAATTGTGGTAATGTAATCGCCATCGTGAATGTTGCGGACTTTTGGTGGCCTCGCTTTTTGGGGAAGATATATGGCAGTTTTCGAAATCCAATGGCCTTAGCTAACACTTCTTAGGAATTCTTATAAAAGGACCTTGTAGCATCGTCTGAAAATCGATGCGCGGAGTGCTATGTCAAGAGATCAAACGTCTATGGAAATTGTTATGGGATTATGGACTTTTCGCTAGAGTACCGCAAGCAAGGCTGAAGTTTCCATGCCAGAAAAGCCGTTCCAAGGGGTTTTACCAAATTTTCTGAGCAACTAAATCATCAAATATATTTGAACTCTTCAAACGAAAAATTGATCCTTTTCTTCTACGACTTTAAAGGAACACCTTCTAAAATTTTCAGACTATGCTTGGATTTTCCTCTCGGGAGTGCAGAGTCAGAGACAAGGCTGATAAGACGAGGCCAACGCATAATTCGCATTGCGAACGAAAGAGCGAACCTCCATCGAGTCCTTCTATATTAACAAAGAAAACCTAAATATCTTGCTTGGTTGATTCTAGTGGTATGGATATATAACCAGAGCCTCGCGATCCGAAGCCATTTTAAATATTCAAAGAAGTTTGCTTTTACTCAATAACATTACTGGAGTTCACTTGGGGCAATTGGCTTTCCTTCCCCGTGAGCTCACCGGGGAGGTCACCCGGAGCGCAATCACATTTGTCGACGGCGAATTCTTTTTCATGTTTTTCGACGCAAATGCTGTAGGACGCGTGATACCTCAACGTTGATTGAGGTTAGAATGTTGCTTTACTCTGCAAAATAAGTCAGATACAAGACCAAATTCCTTGTATCCATAATCTTTTCTCACTACTCTCCTCGTTAAATTGCATATTACACATCAGAATCTTTCAATTGTATGACCCTCACCTCAATCAACACGTTTGAATGGCTAACAACTATTGATATAGCGACGCCATTACGCTAGGGGGTTCCCAAGATTATTCGAGCATCTGAATATACAAAATGCATGTTTCAGTGCTTGTTTTATCAATAGATAGGTTGTTAGATTACCTTAAAATGTGAACAGACAAGACTGAGGACCTCCGAAGAACGTAGCAGATAAGTACTACGAATTCTTCGTCTAGGCGAAGCTCATGTTAGTTAGAGGTCCATTTCATAGTAGAGACATTAATCCACTCTACGAAAATCAGATAGTGTCGCTGAAGTACGCGCGATTACTCTAATCCAGTATGTCGTCGATGTCCATGATACTCTCCTAGTCCGGACCTTTTCATCTTCAATATGTCACGAAGCCCGACATGAAGCTCCAAACCGACTAGAATTACTGCCCATTTCCTCTTTCCAGCCCCTTTATCTTCTTGTTCAATTTTCCTCCAATAATCCATACTCTATACATACACAACGATAAAAGCTACTAGATTCCGGATCTGACTCTCAAAGAGTTTCTATTTCAAGTGAAGCAAGGGCCAAAATCTAAATTGGTCCACTATCTATCCATTACTCCTGATCCACTGATACGTGCAATCACCGTATACTCCTTAATTTCAGATATAATAGCATTGAAAGGAATGATGACATTATTTTCGTGGTGGAGAATTCAGGGAAAAGTAGATTGAATGGGTTTATGAGGTGGATTAGAAGTTGCCATTTGCAAGAAAATGGGTATTAAAAAGTCGGCACATTCCGAACGGAGCAGATCAACTATAAAGCGCGGCCATCATTTTGATAGTTGATCAGATATTACTGGAAAAGCGGCGATTTCAGCGTGGTTGGAACTGCTTTTGATCAATATATCTTCAAATCTATCTCATACCTCACCACACACACAATACCGCGCTATTTCCACCGTGAGCAAAAACACTGATGAGTGAACATCATTGAACACCTCCCCCTATCCCAAACCAGAATTCCTAATTCAACATTTTCCACTATCCACATGCTAAACAACACAAGCGAGATCTAAAAAGGGGGTTCCCTCCACGCGGTCACATTGTAGACCCTAAACCGTTAAAGCGAGACTCTACCACCATATCTATAATCTTTGATCCAAACCTATATTGACCAACTATTGGTATTGGGAAATCTCTTCAATCAATCCAATCCTCGATTATAGATTGTTAGACTAGACACAGTGACTGCAGTATCGGCATTTGTTGATCCTGTAAGATTACTCTACAACCGAAATCTATACTTGCAGTAATTCAGACTTTGCCGCATGTCAAATTTCTAATTATAATACTACAAGACAATCATATATCTACAATCAACCATCTCCAAACCAAGCAACATCAACATCAACCAATAATAAATCCATAAAACTCACTACAGTACCTACCCAAAGATAAAAGAACAAACAATCGAAATCGATACAAAGGACTATAAAGCCATGATAAATTGATACGTAGGTATATCAAGACAACAATAGGATTGCCTGTATCTACATCCTATTCCCAGAATACTTATAACAACCAACTATTGCGCATAGCCACCTTAGTCATTATCTTATAACCAATTTTCTCCTCAAGGACTTCCTTCAAAATATAAATATTCACACTTTGATTTACTTCCCTAACTTGAGATATTTAAATCAAAGTGACGAGTTTCTTCCCAAATTCAAACAATCACAATGCAAAAATCTCGATGCACAATCGTTCATTATCATAGCATTTCCCCTTCTAGGGATTTTATACTTTTAAAACAAAAAAAGATGCCTAATGTACGGGAGTAAACTGTAAAAGCATTAACTAAAAAAAGGTCCACTGTCGTGAACAAAATACAGTAGCAGACCAGAGCGACCCGTTAGCTCCGAAAGTCCGAAAGATTTAGTTATCGTAAACCACCGTCCAACACCACAACCGCACCCAATGTATTTTATTCATTTATGCATTCATTTTTGCCATTGTGTTCAAAGCGCTTCCATTCTTGAACCATTCAATTTGTGGGGCGTTGAAAGTGTGAGCGAGCTTAATTTCGAATGTCTCGCCGGACTTTGGGTGAACCTTGAGAGTCATTGGCTTACCGACGGCGAGCTCAGTGCACATAAGGTCAACCTAGAGGTGAAATGATTAGCTTTACTTTGGGAAGATAATTGTTGAACATTCATACCTTGTCATATGGATCAATCTTGTCATAATCCTCTGGGTTAATGAAAGTCAAAGGAAGCATTCCTTGCTTCTTCAAGTTGGTCTCGTGAATACGAGCGAAAGACTTGGTGATGATGGCAAGACCTCCAAGATGTCTTGGCTCAAGAGCGGCGTGCTCTCTTGAACTTCCTTCACCGTAGTTCCAGTCACCAACAACAACCCATGGGATGCCCTTCTTCTTGTAGTCTCTAGCAGTAGCTGGAACGGCATCAAATTCACCGGTGGTGAAGTTCTTGACCTTGTTGGCCTCACCGTTTGCGCTGTTAGTGGCACCAATCAACATGTTGTTGGAGATGTTGTCCAAATGTCCACGGTACTTGAGCCATGGACCAGCCATGGAGATATGATCGGTAGTGGTCTTTCCCTTGGCCTTGATCAAAATAGGCATGTCCAAAGCATCCTTTCCATCCCATGGCTTGAAAGGCTCCAAAAGTTGAAGACGATCACTGGTTGGTGAGACAGCAACATTGACCGAGGCACGCTCAGCAGGTGGTGCTTGGTAAGTGTCTTGTCCTGGATCATATCCTCTTGATGGCAGTCCATCTCCGGTAGGTGGAGACAACTTGAATTCCTTGCCATCCTTATCCTTCAAGGTATCGGTGAGAGGGTTGAAGTGAAGGGATCCAGCAATGGTCATGGCGACTACCATATCTGGCGATGCAACGAAAGAGTGAGTAGCAGGGTTGGCATCGTTACGTCCAGTGAAGTTACGGTTGTAGGATGAGATTATCGAATTGGCTTCTCCTTTCTTAACATCTTTACGATCCCATTGTCCTTTTTAAAAGATCAGTAAATATCCATGAAAATAAATAAAAGAGACGTAAAGAATTATTCTAAAATGTGGTATTTCAATGTCTAAATTGTCGTGAACAATAAGACGCCTTGAAGTTGGAGAAGCATTTCAATGTTTCAAGTACTGTTGACAATTGAAAACATTCAAAGTCTCAAGTATTCTTGGCAATTAAAGGGGGAAAAAAAAAGAGGGAGGATTAGAGGTGTACTAACCGATACAAGGTCCACAAGCATTAGCACTAAAAAATTAAAATCAACATCAGTATCCGGAAACCAAAAGTGACAACGAAATATCCAAAGCAATTTGAACATTCAAGATACCCAAACGCGATTAAGCATTTGAATACCTAGAACAATCAATAGGATTGACAAATCTGAGGGGTTGAGACACTCCAATAGACTTGGACATTGGGGATATACTAAAAGAAAAAGATAAAATTTATAGGTTGGGGAATTCTTACAGTACCATGCCACCGAACTGCTCAAAAGTTTCCAATTGACCATCACGCTCGATAGTAGCACGAATTTGTTCGGAACCTGGAGTAACGGTGAAAAGAGACTTTGCCTTGACACCATGATCCATAGCATCACGAGCGATAGAAGCAGCACGAGTCATATCCTCATATGAAGAGTTTGTGCAAGAACCAATAAGTCCGACCTTCAATTCCTCAGGCCAGTTGTTAGCCTTAACGGCCTCACTGAACTTGGAGATAGGAGTAGCAAGATCTGGAGTAAATGGACCGTTGATGTGTGGTTCGAGCTCAGAAAGGTTGATCTCAATCAACTCATCGTATTGTGCACCTTCATCTTCCCTAAGTTCCTTGGCGTATGTACGAGCGAAGTCTCCAATCTCGGTACGCTTAGTAGCAGCGAGGTAATCGTACATGCGGTCGTTGAATGGGAAAAGAGAGGTTGTTGCACCAATTTCGGCACCCTATTGAAATTGTTAGTAACAGATCATAAAGAGTAACGAAATAACACATTTATTCCAGTCGCTACTTCGAACCATTTGAGTCTTACCATGTTGCATATTGTTGCTTGTCCCGTACAGGATATAGAGTTCGTTCCAGGACCGAAATATTCAACAATAGCACCAGTTCCACCCTTGACAGTCAAGATACCAGCAACCTTGAGAATGATATCCTTTGGAGTAGCCCAGCCAGAGAGTTCACCAGTGAGCTTAATACCGATAACCTTTGGTGCCTTCAACTCCCAAGGAAGATTGGCCATAACATCGACAGCATCAGCCCCACCAACACCAATAGCAGCCATACCGAGACCACCGGCATTAGGTGTGTGCGAATCAGTACCAATGAGAAGACCACCTGGGAAAGCGTAGTTCTCAAGGATAATTTGATGAATGATACCGGAACCTGGCTTCCAGAAACCAATGTTGTATTTTGCGCAAGAAGTAGAGAGGAAATCGTAGACCTCCTTGTTGATATCAATAGCCCGAGTAAGATCCTTAGCACCTCCAGCCTGTGCCTCAATCAAATGATCACAGTGAACGGTGGTAGGGTTTGCGACAGAAGGCATGCCGGCGGACATGAATTGCAAGATGGCCATCTGAGCAGTAGCATCTTGACAAGCCACTCTGTCAGGACGAAGCTTAAGGTATGATACACCACGTTCAATCTCTTGACCATGAGGATCATCCAAATGTGAGTAGAGAATCTTTTCAGCGTATGCCAAAGGTCTGTTCAATCTCTGACGAACAATTGAGAGGTTCTCGGACATCTTCTTGTAGTTGATAAAGTTGTTCTTTTCGTGGATATTTTGTCTGACTTGTTTATCAAGCGGGGAATCACCAACAGTGGCCATTGTGCGAATGCTCATGCCGGTGATTGCTCGCCGCTTCGCAGCAGCGAGAACCTGTCTTGTTGCCAACATTGTGAGAGAGTTGGTAAGGCAAAAGAAGGAAGAGAGAGAAAAAAGATGGTAGGTTGTTTATTGTATAAACAACTTTGAAGTTGCAAAATAGTGGGAGGAAGAAACTTGGACAACCGAAGCTTGGGAACCGCGGGTTTATCTTCAAGCTTTGACCAGTGTGAGCGGTCCAATCAAGATTAAGGTATTATTTTTCTCAAAAATGGAGGATAGATTAGGATTGAATGCACAACGATGTAATGTGAGTTAAATTTGTCCAATTAGACAGAGAAAAAAAAGGTTGACATCAGACAATACTCAGGTATTCAAATTATTGTATGAATTAAAACAATTGAATTGAGAAACTCAAACTTATCAAGAACGGGGAGAAGACATTTTTGTATTTATTTCCATTTTCTTTTTCTACCTTCGTGTCGCCCTCATCTCTCTTGGTCCTCAAAATTGAAGCCTTTGTTTGCGGCTATATTTCAAATGCGAATTTTTCGTAGGTCTGCAGGTTGATAGTGGATCAAACGTTTTAAGCTATATCCAATAAGGTGTCAGCGCCCGCTTCCATTTATCCACTGTCATCCACTGTCATTTATTTGTGAATCTGGCTTCACGATGTTTTCCGTCAAACGCTTCCGTTATTGGTGCGAAATCGGATTTCTGCTCCGGTCATGTGCTATCAGCAAAAGGACTTTTCCGAGGCTGTTTGCTTCCCAAAGGCTGGATGGAAGTTTATTTCTCTATTTCCTTTTACCTACTAGGTATTTCCATGATTCAACTTTTAATACTCCCAGTATTCCAAACAACTGGAATGTCTCAACGATTCTAGATGTCCCCAATGTTTTGGTATTCTCACTCCTTATAAATATGGATGTCCCCGAGCATAGGTACGTATGGAACATTCCAAATGATCTCAAGTGAATTTGGGATAAAATACGTAGTACACAAAATTAAAACATACAAAGTAGACTCAATGGTCCAAAGCCAGCCAGGACAAATGGAGCGGAGAATCGGAGCTTTTTCCGATGTCCAGAATTAAATTCGGCATACTCTTTCTGTTCTAACCGTGCCAAAAAGATGCACAACAAATCCCAAGGTGGATCAAATTTCTATGGGGTGGGGGTGGATAAAAGTTTCCCCGTAATTTTCAAAAATCCACATGCAGTCCTAAGCAAAAAATTTGGTAATTTCAGTATCAATCCACCACCATACATCGAAATTTCCATTTGCAGCAAAACTCCAATCAAGTAGACGCAGCAAAAATATCACCAAGACGATAAGTCATAATGGGTATTCCTCAAAAATCAACTAAAACTAAGACGAGGAGAAGATTGAGGCAAGTAAAACACAATTCAATTATTGGAAAGATTTTTTTTGTGCGCTAGACTAATATTTTCATTACAGAGATCTCGATCAAATCTCGGCCGATATTCGTTCTCCAAAACATCTAGCACAACACAAAGACTCGAAAGCCGCAGAAGACTTGCCAGGTTTGGGAAAATGGTATTGCATTCAGTGTGCGAAATGGTATGAATCGGAAAATAGTATGCTGTCGCATCTTAAAGGCAAACCTCATAAAAGAAGGTATGTTGAAAGATTATGGAGAATTCTGAGAGCATCATGCTAATTACCTTGTATAGGGTCAAGGCATTGAAGGAGGGACCATATACACAAAGAGATGCAGAAGCTGCTATAGGACAAGGCCCTCCAGATAATGGTACCAGAAATAAGGCTTTAGATGTAGAGGTTGAGATGGAAAACTCTGGATTACTTGACGACCAGGAAACCTGAGTATTTGCATAAACCGGAGTATATGCATCGTATTCCCCGACATGAAGTAATTATGCAGGGGTTTATCAAAGCTCAGTCCGTCGTGGCTACTACTATAAATCTATGACGGGGTATCATGGGGGAGGATTTGTGATGTGTATTTTCGTCTTATCGTACACCACGACCTCGACCTCTCGCAAGACCACTCGCTCTACCTCCACGTCCGCCGCGCGGAACAGGAATACCTCTTCCAGATGACCCAGAGCCACCGGAAGATCCACCTCGACCAGAAGAGCCTGCTATTCGTGATGGTGCTGGGGTTATAAATTTCGGAGTTGCTTTGGAGGAGGTTGGAGGATTATCAACGAAGGATGTGTCAGTGGTCCTAGAGAGGTCAATTAGCCACTAGCCATAGTAGCAACTAACATGTTGCTTACAAAAATGTTGTTTCTCCATCAATTTCACCACGAAATCTTTCTGAATTTGTTGACCTGCCTAATGAAACCATCAGTAACGCCTTCAATGCTTATCCGTCCATGAAACTGACCTAACTGTTCTTCCTGCTCCTGTGCTCTACGAAATGAATCCTGAATAGGCGCCTAGCAACGCAATTAGAAAACCCCAAATAGCCCAGGTCCAAGTTAACAAACCTCAGGAAAATCCACACAAAAAGCATTCATATTCAATCCATAGAGAAAACTAGCAAAGTTCTCACTAAACCTAGCCAAACTCTCATGCATCAACTGTAAATGCATAAAATTAGCTTCCAAGTCCGCCATCGAATCAGACAATTCTGCAAAAGCCGGCTCAAATGCCTCCAAAGGAGCACTGGAGTAACCGCCCGTACTCCTTCTCGCAGAATCGCGGAGGGAGGAGCGCGAGGAGGGACGTAGAGGCGTTGTTGGTCGAGAGAGTGGGTTGCGAGAGGCGGAGTGAGATCTCTTGGTGCTATTATTGCCGCCGGTGAGGGGTGTTGTGGTGGCCATTGTGGGCTTTTTGGATGAAGGATAGCTGCTGGAATTGTTGTTTTGCTTTGGGTCCTTTCGTCCAAATGCTGGATGCGCAACTCCTACACAAACCAAAATTAATGGCGTATTGGGTGCTGCTGTAAACACAGTTCAGGGCTGATGGATCTACCTGATAGTGGTGAAAATGCCTGAATATTTTCAACCCATCCTGCATCAAAATTACATACAGGTACCAAGTATTGGTCTACCCCGCTACGCACCTACCGTGTGCACCTACAATTTTATGTCGTGTGCATGAATTTGGTACGAACACCGTGGACCACAGAGCGCACAATGACGAACTTTTTATGAATACGAGTATACGAAATACGATGTGAATAGGAAATTTGTTGTATTTGCGGCTTCTTCGGATTACAAAACAGAAATGCAATTCCGCTTCTTGCTGATCTTTTTCTAGTTTCCTGTCGTTTGACAGTCAAAACGGTGAAGAGAATTATTTGCTTAGAAATTGTAAATATCAATTAAAGATTGTCATGTTAGTGTTATTTATGTACAGTAAGCCCATGACTTGACCTGTCCTGTTTCGAATTTTGTTTTCTACCAGCGTTGGTTCAAGAGGTCTACCCATATCAAGGCTTCAGTCCCCTCACTTCTCAACCCCTCCCTCATCTTGACCCTTTCCAACTCTACCGACCTCGGGAGTCAAGATTACTCAACTATATATCTTTCCATGAAAAGATCATTGGGAGTGACCCGCGGTTTTGTTCATCAATATACTCAGCATTCACTTTCTATTCCTCCCACATTCTTACGTCAAAATCGTAACCGTGGAGATTTCATCGCGTCTTTGCGTAGGATAGAAACATTTGCGCCCCTTCGTCGCAACAACTCTGAAATCTACTCAGACATTCTGAGACTCAAGGGATTGGAAAATACGGAAAAGCGCACGAATCTACTTCCTAACTCCGCTTTGGGACGGTCGAGCGCTATAACATATACCTGTAATCGAAGCCTATCCTCATTGTCACCCAATCAATCTAATAAGCCCAATACTTCTCGTGAAACATCTTTATCATCACCTGTGCAAAGCAGCTTAGGAAATTGGGGTACCGTTACTCTTTTACTTCTTACATTTATTAGCAGCGCATTTCTCTACACTTCAACCCAAGGTCAATCAAAGACACACAAACCTAAATTACAAGAAATCGACCTCGAGCAAGAATATTACGAATATTACAAAATGACGGGCGAAACACTCCCAGGTCGACCTGGCACATTGACTGCACACGAAGAGGAGAAATTACGAGAATTCTGGGTTGCCACTCTACAAGTCTTTGGCGTACTTGATCCTCACGCAGACACCAATGGAACCAGTGGCGATTCGGAAGTGAGCAATGGCAACGTAAAATCGGATACCTCGGCTTCTGAGAAGCCTAAGAAGAAGAGATTCTCTGCTCTGCGTAGGAAACATAAGGATGATGATTCAGCATCTACGAAATCTTCGAGCACTGCATCGCGCATCTCGAATGCTTCTGATGCGGAGGATAAATATGGACAAACTAAGGAATTCCACGATGCCTTGGCTAGTCTGCCACCGGCATCTATTCGTGCGGCGTTCTGGAGTATGGTGAAATATGATCATCCAGATGCACTTCTATTGCGGTTCTTGCGAGCCAGAAAATGGGATGTGGATAAGGCATTGGTCATGATGATTTCCACCATGAGATGGAGGGCTTCGGATATGCATGTAGATGATGATATCATGAAAAATGGAGAATTGGGTGCTCTTGAAGATGAGAAGGGAACTGATGCTGAAAAGAAGAAGCAGGCAGAGGGATTCCTTATGCAAATGCGTTTGGGGAAGAGTTTTTTGCATGGGAAAGATAAGTACGTATTTTGACCTTCTATATCTACCGACTCGTCTCTTGGTTACCCCTCTGCGGCGGACGTCCATCACATTTGCTAATATGTAATCCTTTCAGAGCCGGGAGACCAATGTGCTTTGTGAGAGCTCGCTTACACAAGCAAGGCGAGCAGACAGATGAGAGTTTAGAGAAATATACAGTTTTTGTTATAGAATCGGCTAGGATGCTCTTGGAGCCACCGATAGACACTGCTGTAGGGATACACTTAATGTTTTTGTTCCACTTGATAGATGAAGTACTGACCATGCAATAGTGTGTAGTATTTGATTTGACAGGATTTTCTCTAGCAAACATGGTAGGTGAAATTTCTCAACTCATACACTACGTTACTAATTCCATCATAGGACTATGCACCCGTCAAATTCATGATCAAATGTTTCGAAGCCAACTATCCGGAATGTCTTGGTGTAGTATTGGTCCATAGAGCGCCATGGGTATTCCAAGGTACACACCTCTCCCACAATTCCAGACTCTAATCACTAACGCCAACCAGGCATCTGGAAAATCATCCGAGGCTGGCTCGATCCTGTCGTAGCAAGCAAAGTACACTTCACAAACAACGTAGAAGAAATGTCGGAATTCGTCGCCCGCTCTCAAATCCTCAAAGAACTAGGCGGCGACGAAGACTGGGAATACAAATTCGTAGAACCCATTCCGGGCGAAAATGATAAGATGAAAGATACAGCAACGAGAGACAAACTTCTCACCGGAAGAGAAGCAATCGTAGGTAAATATGAAAAAGCTACAATCGAATGGATCAATTCCGAAGGAAACAAACCGGATCTCAAGAGTAAGAGAACCGAATTGGCAAAGGAATTAAGAGACGATTATTGGAAATTGGATCCCTATGTCAGAGCGAGGAGTTTGTATGATCGAGTTGGCGTGGTGAATGCGGGGGGAAAATTGAATTTTTATCCGAAGGTTAAGGGGTCAGAGACTCAGACTCCGGTTGCAACGTCGAAGGTGGAAACTTCGACGGATGATATTGATTAGGGTTAGGAATGGAGGAGAATGGAGGAGAAAGGAAGAGAAAGGCAAATGGAAAAGGAAAGAGAAAAAGAAAGGAAAAAGAGATAGAGATATACGAATAGAAAAAGAGAATTTATAATACCTACTTACCTGGGTGAGGAATAGAATGAATTGAGAGTTAGAAAGATAATATGAAATGAAATGAGTTGAGATGAGATGATATGAGATTTTGAGGTAAATATGTGATAGATGACGTTCATGTTTATTGAGTTTGTTTGCATTGCTTTTTAAATTTTAGATGGATTTTAAATGGATTTTTTAATTGGTATCTAGAAATGGATGGGATGGGATAAGGGGGACTATATTAGATGACCTCCCGGGAGGACATTTTTTTGCTTTTGGGGGTATGTTTTGCGTTGGTTTTTAGATGGTAGTATGGATAAAAGTAATGAAGGGATTCTCTTCATCATATCATTCCATCCTATTTCATTTCATCTCACAGTATTTCATCCTATTTCATCTCATCTCATCCCCTTTCACAAACCCACACATTGATATCATCGCTCATCATCGCTCAACAAACCAAACCAAACTGACCCATCTCTCCCATCACTGCCGTTTCCCCATAACTCAATAACTTATAGACAATACCTCAATCTCAACGCCTATTCATTTGCTCACAACTTTTGAGACCGCTCCCACCGCAATATAACACAACACAATGCGACACAACTCATAAAAATTGAACCTCTACATCTTCGACTTTATCTCGGTGAAGAGGGCTTTTAATTTATCCATATCTGTTTTTTGTTGGGGCCAGCCGATGGACATTCCTTCTTCGATGGAGGGTTTGGGGATCTAAGTGGGAGGTTAGTTGTGTTATGATGGGTTTAGCTGCGGTGGTTTTGGGAAGGGAATGGGAAGGATTATCGGATTCGGAGAAAAATAAGACGGGGCGTACCATGTGGAAATGTACCTGGAGAAGAAAGGGTTAGTTATTATACGACGAACTCATAGAGGGAAGGGGAGAAAATGAAGGAAGAAAAAGTACATACATGATCAACCTCCTGATGTGCAATGCGACCATTATTCTGCAAAACATTATAATTTTCCGCACCAGTTGCTACGACCAATTTCTTCACTACTGGCTATTTATTACTCTTATTAGCAGTGTTTTCCTCCCTGTCCTATCCTTCCTATTTCATTCTCTGTAATATGCAAAGAAGAAGAGCATGAAATAAATCTTATAAAACAGTGGCAGATTCTAATATCGACGGAACAGGGAGAACGAAGAAGGAAGGGGTAAGGGGAAAGATAACGTACCAAAATCTCCTGTAATTGATCATCGGGAATATCGACCAATTTCTCGCCATGCCATTTGGGGATTACGAGCTAGATTTTTGGTGTATGTTAGTTAGATAGCTCTGTTTGTTTACTTTGTTTATTTCTCCATTCATTCATTCCTGCATCAATCCATTCACCCATCAATCCAAACATTCATCCCTCTAGAATCTAGAAACCTCGCGGGTATGTATGTATAAATGTATACATGATATCTCCACTCGCAGATATCAAAATTAAAATACCAGAAAGAGGAACCGGAACAGCAACAAGAGCAGAAGCAAAAGCAAAAGTAGAATAAGGAGATACTAACAGCATGACCCCTAGACAATGGATTAATATCCAAAAACGCAAACACCTTTTCCGATTCGTAGAGTTTGAAGGAGGGGATATCTCCTATTCGAGTTTATGATATCATTAGCTTTTGCATATAGAATATATAGAGATAGAACATCAAATAGAATACAAGATATAGAGAACTAGACATAGAGAAGGAGCTGAAGTCTGTGGTATAGGTAGATAGAGAGATAGAAATTCGTACCTTTGATGATCTTGCAGAAGATACATGCTGCTTGAGAGGCCATTTTGTATTGGGTTACTGTTTTCGAGATAAGTTCGGGTATCGTATTGTGTCGTATAGTAAAGTATCGTGTTGCAATGTAGAAACAACTAAAGCCCACCAGCTATCAAGTACTAAATAAAATCAAACCGAAGATGAGTACCTACCTAGTATATCAGCTATCAATCAATTCAGGTCAGGTCCGACAGCTGCATCCAACGCGGGGTCCTACTACATTCCTCCGAATATTACCCACACTCACACCCACAAACTCCGAACCCCCGACACTATTTCAACCTATCCAATATAAATCCAAAAACCTCAGTTTACATCTCGGAGTGGGACAAGCTAGCTCAGAATTCATTTCTTGCCTTTTACCAGAGATGACCGTGGCTCATGCCCATAATACTCCATTCATCAAATATTTGGAACAAACCTTTCTGATTACTCAGAGATAATTTATTTTGGATTTTTAGGGGTGTGTTTTTGATTTTTGGGAACATGATGGATTTTTTTCTGGAAGGAAGTGGTAGGCGAGGTTTTTGTGGAGATGGATGAATGGGGTTGATGTAGATGGATGATGGGATTTTGTGTGAGGGAGAGCTTTTTGAGGGGTTGATTGACTGATTGATGTTATATTTACGGGATTCTTAAATATATCAATAATAGTAATAAGATTTAATTAATAACAATATTGATTTACATTTTTTCTCTTTACTCTGAACAATTAACAATACACATTATTTAACAACAAGGAATCATAATCAAATCTGCACAATATGCCAATTCCCACCTTATTTTCTCTCACAGAAGAATAAGTCACATATTGCTGCTAAAATTCACGAATTGATTTTATGAGTTAGACGACACCCGAATAATATTTTAAAAAGATAGGAGCTAAAGATAATATACCAAAAGACTTCAGGCAAGCACGATAGTACGCATCTCCCATGGCAGTGAAGTGAATTCTTGCGAGTCTGGGACTTGAGCTAAACCGACCCTCGTGAACGTTCCCTCTTCAGTCCCTGACTCAACGACAAGACGTATCACAAAATAGCACTTATTGTTTCTATTATCAATCCTAGGGAAACTTTCAATTTGTACCATTGTCAGGCCGCTGGAAGTGCGCTGTTGGGTAGAGAGAGAGAGAGAGCCTATTGTATCCTTCTCCAATTCGAAAAAATGCAGGGCCGGGGCTCGAGACGGATGTGTCTGAGGACGCCAGTCTTGGCAATGCCCATGATAATTGTTGTATTCGAGCCTGAGCCGATTTGTAAAAGTTCGACACAGGACCATTTTTTGGTTTTGCTAGATGAGTATAGGGGAAATGGATGAAAGAGAGGATACCAAACTTAGGAAATCTTTTCTCTCTAGCGGAAAAGCTCTGACTCGTAAGGATCGCAATTAGAACCAGCCATCTTCTGATAATCGATCGAATTTTAGTAAAAGGTGTTCAGCGTGAACTTCTTCTGGGAAGCTCGTGTTCGAAAGTGTTAGAGACACATCTGCTGAGACTGGCCATTGATCTAAATTAAGACAAAGAGTGCAAAGTGTGAGATTCACGGATACAACGCGCCCATTAGGAATTCCATCGACAGTTTGATCTCACAGCCAGCTATCTGTGCTCTAAATCTTGAATTACTGATTCCCTCCCCCTCGGACTTGGAATAATACTTAAAATCCTGACCCGGACTCTGAGTATTGAATCCGAGGCTGCCCCAGCTCAATGAAGGTGCAACATATGCTTCTGGGATACTTACCGGCCCCACAGTGGTCCAGAGAAGGTCATCATGAATGTCTTTAGCCCATATCCCTATCCAATAAGTCAATCGGAACTGTGTTTCGAATTTTTGTGCTAAAGCAGCCAATGCATAGAGTCGGTCGGTCTCGAATGTAAGTGAACGAGCTGCGTACTCATTTACCAAGCTATACCGGCGCTTCCTTGGGTCAAGTAACTGGGCATATGAAGGGCCAAAATTCTTTGATATATAATTTTGCCCATAGTCTGGGGCCAGGAAAAATCTTTTGGGGTCCGTCTTGAAATAGAGCCTATCGCTTGACCACAAGATTTCCGGATTTACCTTTGACTCGGAGACTTTTTGAAGCTGGAAATTCCAGACTAGTTGCTTGGAAGTGTAGTGTAAAACACGTGGAGATTAAACGTGTTCTTGTAGTGTCCATCCTCTACTAGCAAGAGCGGTGCGATCGCGACCAGGGTATTCAGACCGAGGATCAGTATCTGCTTCAAGGTGTATTTTGCAAGACTCCGGGCGCTCCCACTGAGTTAGCGATAGGGAGCAGAGGCACTTATCCCTTGTGTGCGTAAAATGCCCAGGAAGCCTTCCTGATCTGAAGTTGCGTCGTCAACGGCAATGCATAACGCACAATCTTTATAGTAATCTCGCATGCGTCTTGACTCGAAGAGCCTATCAAGAAGACTGCCGATGCATGAATAAAAATGAGGTGCAACGAAGCCTTGCAACTGCGAGAGCCCATTCAATATACGACTATGCTGTGATACTGCTTGTCTTATTGCTGCAATCACAACCAGAACCAGAGCTGACATTGAAAGGAAGCGAATTATTCATTCGGTTTGTTACGCACAGATTTGAGAAATGTTTTGAGTGTGCAAGCTTCTACAGCCTACAGCCATATTGGAGTTGATTGAATATGACAATATTTCGGAATGCCAACTTATACATTCTAAGTCCGCTATGAAAATGTGCAACATGAAGCAGACAATGAGACTATAAAGTTCCAAATAGAATTGATGGAAAGTTTTTGATACTGAGTTCTGTGAATATAATTAATATTGTGTAAAGGATGGAATGGAAATCGGAAGGAATTCAAGCACTAAGCAACCCCGCTAAAACTTGCCTAGACATGCCCAGGCAGGAAACGGAGCAATCAAAAGCGGACATGATCAGTAGCATCGAAATTTATTCACATGTTCTCTTTTTATCTCATTTCATATTCAAATTCTCAGCCAAGTTATTATACCAAGAAGGATAAAACATTCAATACCTACCCAATACAATACCCAAAGTAAGCATTAGGCATACATTTGTTGTTCTTCCCTGTTCTTCATCAAGCGAGTCACCACCAAGTGACGTGACGTCTTACCCTGTCACCCAAACTGCAGCCCTACCAACACAACATATCAAAGCAATCAAACCCCATCACCAACCCCTCACACGATATACAATACCTAGGCAAATACATATACTCTTCAAACATGACTACATATACATCCACACCTCTCTTCGGGGGCGCCCTCATAGTTGATCTCCCCTCTACATTCGCCGACGTCAGGTAAGAATAAAAAAGAAAAAGAACCAACACCAAACCCCTCCAGCCCCACCTTCTTTCCGACAAAACTCACCATCATCATCACATCAACTGACAAACTCCATAGTACAATAAGACAAGTTCCCGATCATCAAGAAGTCTATTTGGATAAAGATGGCTTCACAAGTATCATCTTCGATATCACAGAGCGAGTAGGAACAGCAGGTTCCAGCCCGGCGACCGATGGAGCGGCTATGACGACTCATTTGGAAGATATCGTGGATTCGGATCTTGATACTGTAAAAGTATGGTCGATTACCGATACGAAGTTTACCAAATTACCGTAAGTGTCTCCCTATCCATTCATTCATATCCTTTTATTCCGCCTCCTCCTCATCCCTCATCACCATATCCACCTATCCTACCACATCACGTGCGCACCCAAAATATCCACATCCATCAGCAGAGCTGACAATCCCAAAGAGAAGGCATACCAGCCTACACTCTAATTGCAACTCAAACGCCACCACACGATCCTAATTCCCATGCCTCGGCTCCGGATTTCACAGCAATAGTACTCAATCTGATTCGTTTGGAGCGGGAGAGTACGGATATTTTGGTCACGATTAATGTTCCACATATTAAAGGTGAATATTCGGCTGATGATGTAGATTTGCAATTGGGGAAACAGGGAAAGTTGATTGAGAATGCGGTGGAACATGCGGCGAAGATTTGGGAGACGTTTAAGATTAAGGATTGGGGGCTTTTTGATGAGGTTTAGATGCGGAAGTAGGAGAGGGGTAAAGAGGTCTGGAGATGCATGGGCTTTGGGGATTGGATTGAAAAGGAATAGTTTTGATGGAATCTTATGAAATGGCATGATATGGCGAATGATTGACCGTGGCTATAGTGGATGGCGGGATCACGTGATGATGTCATATGGATGATTTTCATATTTTCATATATTTTGTCAGGAAGGGCAATGCTGATTTACTGAATGAGCATTCGTTATAAGATTTGCTATACAAGTGAGGGATTTCATAGTTCAATTGACAAATCTCAAGAATAAATTTGGATATTCGAGAACAACTCAAGGGGTCGTCAAATCCAGGAAATCCAGTTTCCTCGAAACGACTTCCACTTCTTCTTCATCAACAGTACTCTCCTTTAAATCCACCATCTCCCCTCCACCATTCGCAGCCTTCCTAGCCTTAAACTCCTGATACCTCTTCCCCACCAACCCCATAATCTCCTTCTGCGGACTCCCCGGATTCTCCTCTCTAATCCTCCTCATATTCTCCCTCACAAAAACCTGATACTCATTCTCCTTCCCCAACCCCTTCCCCGTCCCCCTAGGCACAGGTTTAATCTGCACCAACACCCCCTTACAAGCACCACACCTATGTCTCAGGGTATCAATACTTTTCGAATGACGTTTAAACAGCGTTTTGCAGGTTTGCTCCGTACATTCCCACACATATTTATAGTCAATTTCGTAGCTGTGTTTAGTAGTAACTTCGATACCGCGATGCGCAAACTCGGAAGTACATTTCGTGGCCCAGATTTTGAATTCTTTGCCGTGGGGATTGGTTTTTATGTTTGAGATCATGAAGTTGGCGAGGTGGCAGAATTCATGCGCGAGGACGTTGAGAAGGCGCGGTTCATCGTCGATTACTTTTTCGGCGAGTTCGATGGAGGCGTAGTGTCGGTATTTTAGAGTGGTGGTTTCTTGGGGGTTTAGGGTTAAGGGGGTGTGTTTGATGGTTTCTCGTCGCCAGTTTGCGCGGCCGGCGGTGGTGGTGAGTTTTTTGGACCAGATTATTTGGACGCCGCCTGTGGAAGCGGAGAGTTGGGCTATTTGGCCGGATGTTATTTTGGAGTCGAGCTCGGCGAGGAAATCAGACGCGATGGTGTGTTTAGCTGTTGAGAATGCTTTTTTGAAATCTTTATCGAGACGGGCAGGTTTAGCTGGGACGGGTTTCTTAAAGAGACTGGTACCGTTGGATGTGAAAGGAGGTTGAAGTTTAGGTTTGGTAAGAGGTTGGAGTGTTTTCATGGGGGAGTATTGATCATTCCAGTCATTGACGAGATCTTGTGACCAGAAACTATCCATACTTGGACGATGGGGTGTAGATGGTATGCGGGATAACTTTTTAGGAGAGACGAGTCCTCGGGGTTTGAGTTCCGGGCTTCCTGGCGGTGTTGATATTCGAACCCCTTTGGAGACTTTTCTGGGTGATGGGGAGCTTGTGTTTATTAGCATATATCTTCTACCCGTGGAATATACTTGCTTACAATCGTAAAACTGCTCCATTATCATCGAAGCTAGAAGAAGTACCTGGTCGAATCTCGACTTTCTCGCTTCTTTTAGGTGGTTTCAACTCTGGCGCTTTGAATTCAGGAGGTGTTTCCTTGTTGTTGATTGAAGTTCTGTCTAGAAGTTGGCGTAAAATTTCATCTTCTGTATCAGTATCGCTCGATTCTTCCACCACTGTCCTTCGACCTCTGACCAGTTTCCGAGTTGATTTTGGTAGTGTCTTGAACACGTCAGAATCGTCATCATCATCCACTATGAAATCTGATAAATCATCCGAGTAGTCTTCTTCCTCTTCCTCCTCCTCGTCTGAATCCGGTATCCTAGGTTTCCGAGCAGTTGGCTTCCGCTTCTCATCAAAATCAGGTATCCTAGGTTTTCGAGCCATTGGTTTCTCTCCTGATTCTTCCTTCAACACTTTTGGCATCTGAGCGGCCGAGTTAGAAGCTGATACCTTCCTAGGTTCCATACCTAGTTTCTTCGTGCTCACACTCAATGGTTTTAAAAGTGGATTATCCGAATTAACATTCTGCTTCAATATGCGCTTCCTAGCTTTAGGTTTTGCATTCTCAGAACCATTTATCTCATCGCTATCCAATTCCTTGACATTTGGAACCATCGCTCCCTTCTCCTTCCTTGAATTACTTTTTGCTGGTTCATTCCGGTCGACTTTCCTATTTGTTTCCCCAGATACTTTTCGTGTTGTCGTCGATGTTTTGGTTGTTTTTGTTCCTGTTTTCCCTCGAATCACCTCATTTACATCTGGAAACTCCTCATCACTACTATATACCACGAGTCTCGCCATAATATATACTGTCGTGATAATAATTGACTATTAATTGCGCCTCAAATTAATATTATTGAGTTGTTAATGTTTACTTATCGTCTTTTTTTCCGTTGCGACTTCTGTCATGTTGGCTCGGCAACGATGCTTAAATAAAGTGGGTTTGGGGATTTAGTACCTAGCAGCTCCACGATGATTAGGCGACGCATCTCTATGTCTTTAAAGTGATTTCATTCATTTAATTAGTATACAATTGCAGTATGGCAGACACACTGTAGATGCGTGATATCCATGCCTTACTTGTAACAACTTCTAACACAGATAAATATTAAGGTTACAATACTCTTCCAACAGGTATGGTGTCCTCTCGATAGCCCTTTTACCACTCACTAGGGATAGCTTTGTGATTTATCAATCATTCCTCATCATCCTCCAGATATATTTCTTCTGACTTTTCCTTCCCATCATCGACCTTCTGCTCCTGCTTCCTCCACAACCCAGCAAGAAACTCACTTGTACTTGCTTCTTCTATAGACTTATCTTCTCTTTTTTTCAAGAATCTAGGGAACCTCAAACTTAATCCCTTTTCATCGCTCACAAGACCGATGGCGGCTCTATACACCGGACTAATTGTAATATCCGCATAAGCCATCTCCCAGACCTCTTGCGGTTCGAACCATACATCGGGGTGCCCACCTCGATAATCGACATAATTTGGTTTTCCTCCTAGAACATGCTCGCCCCCCTCTGCGTAGAATTCTTTGTTGACCTTGTAGAATGCGTCACTAAAACCCGAGATACACTTACACACGGCTTCCAGAGTGCCAGTCTCATCGTTGCGAACTGCAAGGAGAATTGGTGACCAGAATTTCGCCTTACGTCCTTGACCATGCCATGCAGCGACAGGTATCAAATCCAACGTATCAAATGAAGCACTGTAATCCTTTTTCACTTTCAGCCAAGAGTCCAGTCGTTTGTCGGGCTCGTACGTGGATAATAAAGCTTTTCGGCGCGTTTTCTTCTCGGGTTCTTTTTCAGCAGATTTCGTCTTCCCTCTGGATTGTTTTTGGGATGTTTGGAGGATAGAGGGCTCAATCTCTTCCGAGACTTCCTCGGACTCAAGTAGTGTAGTGCTAGGTAAATCATCTAAAATCTTAACCATGATGCCCTCGCACTTTCGTTCTATGGCAGTGTTGAAGAATTCTAAGACAACCTCTGAATCCTGAGAAGTAGCATCGATACTTTTTACCCATGTGAATTGGTTCGGTACCTCAACGAACAAACCTCGTAAAAGTTCTCGCCTTTCCCTGAAAGTTCGATTGAGAAGTGATTCTCCGTTCAGGTACATTAAATCAAAGGAGAAGAGACACACATCAATCGTAACACTCCCAATTGCTACATCTTTCCTCGCTCGATTTGCCAGAGATTGGAAGGTTTTCAGATCACCAGATTGCCGATCAACGGAGACTACCTCTCCTTCCATGATGAAACTTTCGACACCTTCCCCACGTATTTTTGGAATCAAGGCCACCAAATCGGGATATTTGTCTGTCATAAGTTCCAGGTGCCTGGAAAATATGGACACTTTTCCATTCTCATCACAATGGACTTGGGCTCGCTGCCCATCATACTTATACTCACAACTGAAATCACGACCTTGAAGCTTCGTAAGCATTTCTGCAAGATCCCTGGTAATGCTCCCTAACATGGGGCGTAACGGAATATGCAAGGCTAGTCCGCATCTAACCAATAGCTCCTCGCAGACTCCGATCTCAAGTAAAATGGGTATAAGGTCGTTGTAATTGGGCCTTTTAGCGAAGCATGCTTTCACAATTTCTTCACCCTTCGACCACAACTCGGCCAGGACTTCCTTTTTGAGCTTTACCAGCTCTTGTTGTGACTTAAGAGGAAAGTCTGCTCCAGGTGGTCTAGATAGCTGAAAAGCTCGAGATAAAGCAATCAACATTGTGGTTTTCACTGCACCAATACGGAGCTGTAGGTAAATTAGTATATATATTCGTATAGGAAAGAAATTTGACAATGATATTCCACGAAAATTACAGTTTGGAATTTAAGGTAAATAATTAAAATAGTTACTCACATGTTGACAGAGGGTCCGGACAATGTATCGACTCTCCTCTGCTCCTCTGGCGTCTTGCAATAATCGATCGACAATTCTTTGCTTGATCTCGCTACTGCCGGTTCCTTGTGTCTTAGCTATTTTGACTAGAGATTGATAGACTCCTTTTATCGTTAGTGGTTTCGGTTTTCTTAAGGTAAAACTCTGTCTCTTCTTAGCTTCAAAAGCAACATCGCCAGCATCACCGTGCTTGTTATAAAGTGTCTTCAACGACCTTGAATCTAGCCCGCACACGTTTTTCAATGCTTTCGAAATGGCCGAACCACCCAAACCTAGTTCGAGGGATATGTATGGTGGTGATATTGCATTCGTCGCGAGCCAGACCTGTATCGGTAATTAATACAAGTAGAGCATTGGATATGTGGTATGATACGTAGAGAGTTTTGAAATAACCATATATGAGTTCGAGCTAGAATTTGCTATATTTTGCTTATAGAAGACTCGTAAGAATAGTTTGAACGTACAGTATGTAGAAGCGAATCTGGATCACCCTCAATGATGACCCTCAGCAAGTTGACCAGAGTATCTACTATTTTTATACGGCTCTGAGTACTATTCACGAGTATAAAACACCTTGTCAAGAGAGCGTAGGATGCATCCCCTCCCTCTACAGCCCAATGATTTTGCAGATCAAACACATATTTCGAAGGTTCGAAGGTCAAAGGGCTTTCATCCAATGGTATGTTGGACGATATAGTATCTTCTGCTGTGCCAGCGGATTGTAGTGAAAGGGTATTCTTATTGATAATCGGTTTAGTTGGTTTTGTGGTAGGCCGACTGAAAATGCCATCACTCGGTGCTTTCTCACTTGTATGGCTGGTAGAGATGGCGGAGACTGGAGTCGCAGATGGCTGCCGATTGGTTTCGACTAGAAAACCTTCAGTCGCCTCATTTGTGCCAACTGGTTCCCGATCCCATTCCTCCTGGAGCTTTCTTGCCAGTTGCTCGTCTGTCAATTCAGAGGGACCGGCGCCATCGGGAACATCTTGGGATGGACTACCCACTAGTTGAGATGGCAACTCTTGTTCCTCTTTCTTTCGCTTTCCAAAAAAGAAGTCGAGATTCCGAGAACCATTGGACTTTGTATCATTGTTGAGCTTCCTCCGCTTCGTAGGTGTCCCCATTATCTCAATACGTTTCGCCACTCCAATCGGAAATGGTAGGGTGATTTGTTGCGAATGTGATTAGTATTACCATCTGTGAGCAATTGTAAGAACTTTTGTCGAGTAGCAAAAAATGTCCATGAATCATGAGTACAAAACAACTCGCAATGTCTAAGGTGAATTGTAAATTACCATGGAGAAAACAGCGTCCCGCATTTACCTGTGGACGTGACGCGGGCGGCAGATTTCAGGTTATGGTGACGTCGTTTTTGAATGAGGGGCCCCCAGAAATGGCCTTTTTTTTTTTTTGGCGACCTGAGATCGCTAAATTTCAATTGTTAACCTTAGATGAGGACAACTTTAAAACATTGCGACTGCCACTGTGAGGAAGCAACCCATTAACCACATTCAAAAATGGCGCTGCAAATAGAGCTGGAGCGTAGCCCGAAGGCTTATCTGTGCAATCCCAATGTCGATATACCACTCGGGGAAAGAAATATGAGGGTTGAAGATTGGTTGAACGACAAAATCCAGACTACCGCGGACATGAACAGCCTATCGAGCTTATTAGAGAATGTAAATGCGAAGCAAAAGCAATTGGAAGAGCAAGTAAGTCACAATATCACCGTGAATCTCACACCACTAGCTAACAAGAGCTCTACACAGTTGCGAGATGCCACAACTAAGCTCGCAGAGGCCAAAAGCGCCGCTGCGAATCACACTTCGTCGCTAGTCCAAAAAACTCAAGCCTTTGAGCGACAACAAGACGATCTGCGAGCGCGATTGATGATGCTTACATCTTCAGATACTCCAGAAGAAGCCGTGCGGCTTTTGGAGGGACCGATGGAGAAACTACGACAAGTTGAGCTGGCCCAAGCATACGTTGAATTATTGGAAGACGTCGATGGCATGACCAAGGAAGCTTGCCAAAATTTACCTGACAATCCTACAGAGGCTTTGAAGCCGTATGTGCGATTGAAACAACTTGCAATGGCTTTACAAGCGACTCAGAATACCACAGAAGTTACTGCTCCTCATCTCGTTGCCTATGTGGAACAGACAGCGACTCATTTATGGGCACAGATGGTCCAAATCATGGTCAAAGAATTTCAGGATGTACTCATAACCTTGAAATGGCCAGATCTGACTGTCGAAGTTTCTAGGGCATGGCAAACATGTTTTGGAAGGCTATTGGATCTACAAGCTCCAGAAATTAAAGAAGCTCGAGAACCTCTTATACTTCTCCCTTTTGCGGTTCTGGTCAAAGAAATCGAATTGAAGTTTCGCTATCACTTCATGGGAACCACGCCAACGAGTGCCAGCAGTCTTGTAAGTTTTTACCTTACTATTCATGGATATGCTCTAACAATATCAGCTTGGAGAATATTACCTGAACTGGATCCTCGATGTGATAGATTCGCATGAGTCTTATCTTCGAGTTAACGCCGGGCCTGTTTTGGCTGCACACTTTTTGGGTAGCTCTCTGGCTGGGAACTCACTTTACATAGATCCCGTATCTGCCTTCATCACGGCACTCTTGCCATTGGTCAAAGACAAAACCGAGGTTGTTTTGCAGGATATCCAGCATGACCCTGTGCACTTGAGTAAATTTATAGGCCAATTAATGATTTGGGATGATAGTATTCGAAGCAAGTATAAGTATGATAGTGGTAACATTGAATTCGGCTGGGTTGGCGTGACCTGGCATGTCCTAGATAAATGGTTCGCTCCCTGGTTAGAAGCTGAGGAGAGATTCGCCCTGCAGAGATATGAGGACATAATGCAATCGCAAGATAATGGAAACATTGACTACGACAGCAACGAATCACAGAAGACTAAAACTACCTTCGGGGCCTCAAAGGTTACTGATCTCCTGAAGACCATTACAACACAATATAAAGACCTACGAAGAGTCTCACACAAAGTTCGATTCTTCCTCAATACTCAAATTGCAGTGCTCGATAGATATCAAATTCGTTTATCCGAATCTTTAGACGCCTATATATCTCTAACCTCAACTGTCGGTCGTATTGCTACAGGCGCCACCAAAGAGCAGCAACGGTCTGTCGAGGGAATGGCAGGGCTCATTAGTCTTTGCAAAGTTTTTGGTAGTGCAGATCATATTATTTCGACTCTTGAATCTCTAGCCTATGAAATGGTTAGCATCTCTATCATTCGATACAGTAGTATAATGTCAAGTACTGATATGTGGTTAGTTTTTCGTGGAATTATATTTCCAATTGGATGATAGGGCACGAAACGTACACCCTGAAAGCGCCATCGCTGGCCCTATCACATGTTCGCAGCTTCAGTTGTCTACTTCTCTTAAGCTAGGCACGGGTGAGGGGACAATTTTCGATACAGCGATCCACGGCTTCAAGAAGATAAGGAGCAACGCGGGTGACCTTCTACAACGAGCGATCAAATATCCAATTCCAGCCGATTTTAGAGCCTATTTTACTCAAGCGCAATGGACTACAGTTGGTCAAGATTCTCAATCTAGTAAGTAGGCCTTCTTTTACCATACAAGCATTTTATTAATCAGGTTTAGTAGCACATTTTACGTCGTCTTTGACAATTTCAGCCGAGCTTGATCAACCTCTGCAGGTGAGTGTACTCCTGTCTCGCAAACTGCACCCGCATTAACATCCTCCCTAGATAATGAAAGAGAAAATGGCCTATCTGGAGAAAACCATTTCTTTTCCTGCATTTATGCGAATTTGGCGCCATGCAGTCTCAGCTCTTGAAGACTTGCTATTCAATGAAGTCCTCCTCAAACAAGATTTCACAACATTAGGCGCAGCTCGCTTTGCCCAGGACCTGAAAGGAATCCAAAGCATCATAGGCGCATATCTACCGCTAGAGAACACGGTATTCATGATGCCGCGGCTTACGGAAGGTGCTGCTTTGCTAAATCTGCCCATAGAGGTATCAGATATGGAAACCTTGTCTCTGTCTGAAGCAGCGGAGAAAATATATGCGGGTAGAGAGGAATGCGAGGAGGTTCTTGCTAAGTTGCATATGAAGATGTTAGATAACCCTACTGCGAGACAGATCATCCTGCGAAGAGTCGAGGCAAACGAATAGAGTAAGGGACAGGGAATGTGGATAGAAGATAATCCAATATGACTATGGTTCACATCATTACCTCGGTTGTTAAAACTTTCAATTCTATGTATATTCTTATCTGATATGTATATAATTACCATTAGCATGTTTCTCTGTTCTTACAAGCGGACGATTAAACTAAAATTGTTTAATTATAGGTTATAACAAAATTCTACCTGAAACCCGAATTCATCTCAAACCATAATCATCTCTATGTGTGGTGTATAGTAGGATTTAAGAAAATAACACTACATCCTTGAAAAACTATGCTAATAATCTTCATTCCAAGGTATCAGAACAGCATACCCATACCCATTTCCTAATTTTCCTTTCTTTCCCGCTGCTTCTCCCTCTCGCGAGAGTTATTTCTTCCTCTTTTTTTTTTGGCTTCATCTTCGGCAGGTTGTGTCACAAAGGGTAAACCTCTCATTCATCAATAATAACGATACCATAAACCCGCGTAAATTTTTCGAGTAGTAGAGTCTATACCCATGACACAATTCATGTTGAGCAAGGGCAGATGGTAAATGCAGCAAGAGGTCGGTTCGTTGCTCAGACAGATGAGGATGTGCTGCGAAGATTAATTATTACGATGTTGGAGATGCTGAGATGTTGAAAAGCGAGGTGTGCGCAAGGGAGTTGTGGAATATGAATATTGGCCCCAGGGAATTCGTAAGTAGATGTAGCTCCATCAGACTAGACATGCGGTCACTGGTGTCTATTTATCGGGCAACAAAGCAAGTGATGAATGACTGAGGAAAGTAGACGGTATTCTGTAGCCTGGGCAATGGTGCTTTGGAAATGTAGAGATGGACCTGGCCGACTTGCAAGTGCGCAACCAATCAGCCAATGTAGTGAAAATGAAGCGCACTTCAAAATATACATATACATTATAAGCCGGAACCCGGATCAACACAGCTGCGAAAACATCACACATATTTGAACTTCGAAAACTATGTCAAAGAGTTTAATCATCAGTCAATGAGGTCATATTTGTCTAAGCAATGTTTTTGCATTAGGATCTGGCTAAGACGAAATGCATCCCGAAAAACCAGTCAATAACTCCCCATTCCCAACCAAAAGCACTCTAAGCCTTAGCAGCGGCTTGGTTTGGGTTGACCTTCTTTCCGTCCTTGTTGTATCTAACACGGGGAGGTGGGGCACGGTTGCGTCTTCCAACACGGGATCGGACTCTGTAAAAAAGAGAATCAGCCCAAATGTTCTTGTAGGGTCTAACTTACTGGCAGTTCGACCAAGGATTCATCTCATAGCATGGACATACCGGACAATCTTGCCGTGAATGGCACAAGATACGCAGTATTGCAATTTGAGGTACATCTTGGGAACTGTGTACTCAGAGAAGACAGATGCCTCTGAGATATCACCTATAATTACACCGTATTAGCGCCTATTTCGCAGTCCAAAATATCCATTTGCCAGATCCCATTGCGATCCATCTCTATTTGGAAGTTGCTGAAGTGTCGGGAATAATGAAAACATACGAATGGCAGCGGACTCAACCATGTTACGGATGGTAAATCTCTTTATCGCCTTGTCCTTAGGGGTGCATCGAGAGCAGTTGGAGCATCTGATGGGCTTGACGTGACCACGACCCTTCTTGTTACGTCCACTAAAATATCAATCAGCCTCCCAGATTCCGCAAGTATAACACCTTCGTCAATAATGATCATGGTATCATTCTTCGGAAAGTTCGAGTTGAACGAAATTATGGTTGGAGTTGGAGTTCGTACTTGGACGCGCGCTTCTTGACCATTTTTGCGGATTCTAAAATAAATTATTAGATTCCTCTACAAAACAAACCGATGGTATCTCCGAACTTACTGAATTGGCGAGTTATTCAAATCTTTGGTTGTTGGATTGGCGATTGTCGTTCGTAGGTTTGAAATCTCTCAAGTCAACATCATCTTTCAATATTCAGTTGTGTGATCTGGTAAGCGAGACCTAGCGCCAAGCTAGCGGATTTTAGCGCACAACCAGAATTTCGAAATTCCCTATCAATTATCTTGAACTTTTTCCTTTTGAACTCAGCACGACCACTTAGGAAGACAATCCAAATAATTGTCCAGGTATGTTTTTATATTCTCAATGCGAAACCGCATTATTGATTATGATCAAAATCTAATATATCCCCAAAGGCAGTCATGCAGATCTTCGTCAAGACCCTCACGGGCAAAACTATCACCCTCGAGGTTGAGTCTTCGGACACCATCGACAATGTCAAGGCCAAGATCCAAGACAAGGAGGGAATCCCACCCGACCAACAGCGATTGATCTTCGCCGGAAAGCAACTCGAGGATGGCCGCACCCTTTCCGACTACAACATCCAAAAGGAGTCCACTCTTCACTTGGTGTTACGTCTCCGTGGTGGTGGTAAGAAGCGCAAGAAGAAGGTCTACACTACCCCAAAGAAGATCAAGCACAAGCGCAAGAAGACCAAGCTCGCTGTATTGAAGTACTACAAGGTTGATGGTGATGGAAAGATCGAGCGTCTCCGCAGAGAGTGCCCAACTCCAGACGTAAGTTATTCCTTGACAAATTCCGGTTTTTAAATGGTGCTAACTTTCCCTCCAGTGTGGTGCCGGTGTTTTCATGGCTGCCATGCACGACCGTCAATACTGTGGACGTTGCCACCTCACCTACATCTTCGATGATGCCAACAAATAAATGGTCTACAACGGATAGACGGATGTGAAGGGGATAGTTTTCTGCATGCTATGATGTATTTTCAACATTATCCGATGCTACGCGGAATCTAAAGCAAACATGACCGTCCTCTTGAAGACTATACAATGAAACATGAATTTGGTTGCTGTGAATATGTAGAGAAATTTGGCCGAGACCTTCGACATGAGTGAAAGTGATCCCATTTGTTATTGTGGCCTTCATGGCTCACAGAAGGCAACCATTGCAGTTGGCTTGGTACACGCTATTCTACCATCAATTGGACCTCATTCCAACTCTCCATGTCCATTAGACTTGGTACTTCTTTTTAATGTAACCCAGCCTTTATTCATATCCCAACCCCCCATTCACCATTGTCGAATCATTCCCAATGTTCATATCCTGCAGTGGCGCTATAACCAGCTGGTAGAATACGAGATGAGAACAGTGATCAAGTACCCTTGAACTCGAAGGACAGCCTTTCCGAATCTCAAGAATTTTGTACACAGATTACCCAGAATTATTGATTACAAGACATTTTACTAAGCATTAGGGAATGACGAAACAGCCTCAGGACAGACGTCTCATGAGTGCGGTTATTGACATTTTGCAAAAACATTCACAATGATTGCTTCCGTGGTGATATCACGTGATACACGCAATTCCACCTTTGTCGCACGTCTGTAGAATTTGTTATTCCATCAACGGCTTTTAGGGCCAAAGGGTAAAAATTACATCGAGTGGAAATAAGAATGGCTTTGGGGTGTTATTTCCGGGTTCGTGCTGGTGGTTTTTTGGGGGTTGGGAGAGGTGGACGAGGGGTAATTATCTGGAGTCATGTTGGAGGTTCACACTCTCGAGTTCTTGAGTTGATTGCCACTATATTTCACATATATCTGATGAATCATGAATGATTGATTGACAGTGAGGATGTGATCATGCATGATATATAATATCCTCAAGTGAACTTGTACAACCTCCGTTTAAACTAGTATTATGTACACAGTTCCTTTGACTTCCATTTTAAAACCGTACGCCGTAAGTAAAGGCCATGCAACTGATATCCGTCCACACTCTGAGACGAGACAGATTTGCTCATCCAGCAAAATATAGAGTCCCGTATCTCTGTTCTCTTGGACTCCCAGCCAGGATGTAGCCACTCTCCGTTCATGCGGTTGCTTCGAGTTCTTTGAAGTGCCTATTTTTAGCAGACTTCATGACAATTATAGCCCTATTCCCGCTGCCCTTATTATCAAAATCGGAGAAGTTTTTCATGAAAATGCTCCTGCCGGTCTTCTTGCCCATTCCATCACCACCAGGACCAGAGGCGTCGTCATCGTCCCATTCCGCTCGTCCTCCTTTCTTCCCCATCACCACTTCACCTCAACATAGGCACTCACACCCTACCCAACAACCCTTCTCATCTCCTCCTCACCCCAAACTTCCGTCCCCTGCTTCAATGCATGCACCAATATCTGCAACGCATTCTCATTGAAATCATCCGCTTCACGGATCTTATCCAAATCCTCAGAGAACTCGATAGTGGCGCGTTGAAGATAATGCGCTGTGAACTTCTCGGCCAGAGCTGAATCTTTTACCGGATTTGGCTTCTAGGATATGTTAACAAGGCTAGAAGACAGAAGATAAGAGGAAAGCGTCAGGGTAAGTTACTGATGGAGTTTTGATTGTCGGAGTTGGTATGGTTTGAGGGACTGATTTGGTGGAAGCTGGCTGGGCTTTTGGCTTGGAGGATTGAGATTTAGTAGCCGTGTCACTCTCACTGTCGGATATGGATGTTACTATTGAGATATTAGTATCTAGAAGTTGATTGAAAACATGGGGATACACATACCTTCCGTTCTAGACTGGCTCTTCTTGCGACGCTTAGGTTTCGCGGCTTTGGGCATTTTCGGATCCATATCTAAATATGCAGTACCGCTATGCTCTACTTTATTGTAAATAAAAAACTATCACTTTGAGGTTCGAGATTCAAGAGAACTAAATGATGGTCGAGCGTAGGGTCATTGCACGTGAAAAGCTCATGAGAAAAATATTTTAGTGGGCACTGGCGGAGAAACGCCAAAGGCCTGGCCAATCATCTTACCGATTTCTCCTCAATACAACCTTCTCAGGTAAAATATAAATGATTCCACACATCCTTTAGAAGAATTATATCATGAAAAAAGTGGAAAGTTTGATGTACACCTAGTGGTGAAAAGAACACAAAAATAGCTGTGGTGATATGCTAGTGCATTTCTATATTACTGCGGAGAGATCGCTAAGTCAGGCCTTGCGATGTTATCATTCCTTGCTTATGACATGGGATCTGAACCTGTAAGATTTGAGCCAACTGTTGCAGCTTTTAGCCACAAGCAGTCGTCTCTGAAGAAGGCAGTGCCAACCACAATAACTGCGGAACGATCCGCACATTTCTTCAGTGTGTATAAGATCTGGTGCTGGAGTTCTACTATTGATTTTGACCCGTTAGAATTCGGAACCTACTGACTCACATTCAAGAGCACTCTTAACTAGCAAGAACCGTTCAAGCTGTCAACTTCCCTCTTCCCATCATTTCAAAGATATAGCTGATACGAGTCAAGGTTGTAGTTACTTGGAGCATTAATTTTGTTTCTATCTTGCTTCAACAACTCTTCAAAGCCGGGAGAATCAGCATAGAACCGATTTTATGATCTCACTTTCGACTTCTATATTGCTACCCTTTGCTCAAGTCTGCCTCTACTTCTGGAGAATATACTTATATTACTTGAAGTCCAGTGTTGTGGTAACGTCTTGGCTCTAATTCTACAGCACACTCGCTGTACCTTGCAAAATCACAGGGAATACGCATATCTCCCGTCCGTCTCTTCTACATTGTTGCAATAACTTGACTTTTGACACTCGAGTTATGCGGCAAAATTTACCATCATTCAATGCCATCAGGAAGCATAGCTCCCCTGATGAGCTTTATGGCTTCTTCAGTAGAATCTTCTTTATATGGATCAATCCAATTCTTATTCGGGGGTACAAGAATATCCTCACCGACCAAGATTTACCATGTCTAAGTCAAAATATGAGACCAGAGCTGACAAGAAAAGCAATGCTTCAAATGTGGTCTCAACGAGGTTAGTCTAACACTAGAATATCTTTTTCCCTTGCTATTAACAAGATTAGCCAGGCCTGAAACCAAGAAGAGTTTACCTATCGCTTTGATCAAATGTCTGAAAACCCCCTTCCTTGCTGCTATTGTGCCTCGACTACTCTTGATCTCTTTTCGTTATTCTCAACCTGTCCTGATCAATGAATCGATTAGATACATTGTGACACATTCTAAGGGCGAGGGAAGCAATCATGGATTTTGGCTTATTGTTTCTGCCTTCACAATCTACGTCGGCCTCGCTGTAAGGAGATATTTCGCTGCGTGCTCTTCTTAAATGCTGATACTATTCAATTTCAGCTATCAACAGCTGTGTATCAGCATTTCATAAACAGGCTGAAACTTATGACAAGAAGTGCGCTTGTGGGATTGATTCATGAGAAGACCATGAACTCGCCCGGCATGTCCTATGATAACGGCGATGCTACTTCACTTATGAGTAATGATGCAGAAAGTCTTGATGCAATTGCCGAAATGTTTCACCAGACATGGGCTCAGGTCATTGAGGTTCTTGTAGGTATAAGTCTTTTGGCTACGCAAGTTGGCTGGATTTGGCCTCTTCCGCTTTTTCTGATATACTGTAAGTGTTCCACCTCAGCACTCTGGATAGATACTCAACTATATAGTATGTTCACACATGAGTCGATTTGTTGCAAAGCACTTACAACCCCGCCAAAAGGCTTGGAACACTGCGACACAGAGCCGTATCGCATCTGTTAGTTCTCTTATAGGTTCTATGAAGGTCGTCAAAATGATCGGATTACAGCACACCCTTACCAATCAAATACGAAAGCTACGGAAAGAGGAGCTCCGGGTAGCGTCGAAACTTAGATGGATTATGGTATACTATAATGCGTCTGGTTCGTTCGTGACAATGTGTAAATTCGACATTGCGTCCTTAAAACTGACACTGATATAGCTAATGCACTCGGGATCTTCTCGCCGGCCATTACACTAGCTATGTTTGCTTTGATATCACAAGCTCATGGTGTCAATCTTGATACGGAAACTGCATTCACCACTATGGCGATCTTAAGTATGGTTACCCACCCAGCAAACATGGTCATGACTATTGTGCCTCGCGTAGTAGCAGCTTTCGCTGGGTTTGAAAGAATCCAATCATTCCTGCTCCACCCATCTCTACAAGACAGTCGTAGCATATTACCCAGACCTGGTCGGACTGATCTTGCATCTAACAAACCCAGCCTCGCTATTCAAATACATAAATTGAAAATCGATCATAAACAGATGATCCTTGATGATATAAACATTCAAATGCATTCCAATTCATTCAATATAGTTTCGGGTCCTACAGGTAGCGGCAAAACCACTTTATTGCGTACTATAATTGGAGAAGTAGTTCCTGTCGGTGGATCTATTGCTTTAACAACGAGAAAGATAGCATACTGTGCCCAGAGACCTTGGCTACCCAGCGGCAGTATCAAAGAGGCTATTTATGGTGCTAATGATATCTACGGGCCTGCAATGCAAGACCATGAAACATGGTACAATACCATTACAGAAACATGCTGTCTCGCCCATGATTTTGACTCCCTGCCTCAGGGAGATCAGACAGAGATTGGCAGCAGGGGGCTGAATTTGTCCGGAGGCCAGAGACAGCGTGTGGTAAGTACTCCAATGCGCCAATGTCTAGATAAAATTAAAATAACAAGGTTAGACACTGGCACGCGCGTTGTTCGCAAGATCCGATATACTTCTGCTGGATGACACTTTCAGCGGATTGGATGGTGACACCGAGCAAACTATCTTCGATAATCTGTTTGGATCGAACGGTCTACTACGCAGGTTGAAAACTACTGTTGTTCTTGTCTCCAACTCTTGTAAGTTTCCTTGCATTTTCTTCATCGCAGTGTCTTACTTTGGAGTAGCTCAATACTTCCAATCAGCAGATCATGTTGTTGTTCTTGGGTATCATGGAATTATCGATCAGGGGAACTGGCAAACTATCAAATTTGAAACAGGATCTATAGCAAAATTTTCTTCTGGGAATCGCAGCAAAGACAACCTGGCGGTGTCGGCAGCTTTTGATAAACTCAGCTCCCAGGTGCAAGCAAAAGACGAAGCTGAAATTGATCTTGCAAGACAAAGTGGAGATTTTGCTCTATACGGTAACCCTCTTCCCTCTTCCTCAAAGTGAGAATATAAATTCATGTGAGTATAGGATACTATCTGAAATTTGCCGGGCCGAAGAACTTTCTTCTCCTAGTCTCTTGCACAGCGTCATATGCCTTCTTCATCACCATACCTCAGTACTATTTACAGCTATGGACTGACTCGAGCAGTGGAAACGCTGCCTTATACGCAACTGGATTTTTATTCCTATCATTCATGTCATGGATAATAACAAGTCTCCAGATGTGGTAGGTTTCTCGTAAACCTCCATGTTTTCATTATCGTTGAACACCTTCTAGGGTTGTCCTTACACGATTAGCACCACGATCTGGGTTACGCCTGCATGAAAGGCTTCTACATATTGTAACGAGGTAAGTCTTTTTGCTAACAAAAGACAACGACATCATTCAGAAGATACTGATGATTATTAGCGCACCTTTATCATATTTCTCGCAAACCGATAATGGTTCGATCCTAAATAGGTTAGCAAACGTACATACAGATGTTTCGACAGAACTAAAAAAAAACTCTAGATTCGGTCAAGATATTCAGCTAGTTGACAAGCAATTGCCATCGGCTCTTCAGACCGTTATAACTCGTAAGACGATTATCGAATTTCGTGCTCCCGAACAGTCTCAAAGATCCTAACACACGTAGAAATTTTCAAGCTCTCCATGCAGGTCATACTTCTTTTCGTTGCCCAGAAATGGCTCACAGTGTCCCTACCAGCATGCATGGCTGTAGTATATATCGTCCAGAAAGTCTATCTTCGCACCTCTAGACAACTTCGATTTCTAGAGCTAGAGGCTCGGGCAGGAGTCTTCTCAAGCTTTTTAGAGTCCGTACGTATAGAACTATGTGACTAATCAATCTACTCCATCTGACAGTACTAGGTTGAGGGCCTCGAGACGATACGCTCATTTGGTTGGTCTAATGCGGTTATAAAGGATAACATAATAAGTGTGGACAATGCCCAACGTCCTGAATTTCTCCTCCTGTGCCTTCAAAGATGGCTTAACATTGTCCTAGACTTATTAGCAGCGGCTGTTGCAACCTTCGTTATCGCCATAACTGTGGCATTTCGAGACCGTATTAGCGGCGCACAGGTTGGAATCGCGCTCAATATTATGCTTGTTGCAAACACAACCTTGCTGAAGCTTGTAGAGAGTTGGACGACACTAGAAGTCTCTCTTGGAGCGATTGCTCGCTTGAGAACACTTGAAAAGATGACACCACTTGAGGGTGCTATGGCTTGGAACTTCGAGCCCACGGATTCATGGCCCTCTCGAGGTGATATTGAAATCAAGAATATCACCGCATCTTACCTGCACGTAACCTCAACAAAGTTTTTACTAATCCTAGCTAACAATAACCAATACTTAGGTCCAACTCTGTGGCTCTCCGAAACTTGAGTTTGAACGTCACGTCAGGCCAGAAAATCATCGTCTGTGGACGTACAGGCAGGTCGGCATTTTCCACTCCATTGATTTTTCTCAAGGCTAACTTTCAAAAAGTGGCAAAAGTACCTTGCTCTTGACGCTCCTTCGGCTTCTTGGGTTACAATCTGGCCATATTGTGCTAGACGGAGTTGACATCAAGAATGTCGGGCTTGATGTCCTCCGGCAGCGATGCTTCATTACCGTATCACAAGATCCTCTGCTTCTGTTCAGTGAGACTTTACGCTTTAATTTGGATCCAGATGCCTCATCATCAAACGAAGCTCTGATTGCCTCTCTGAAGAGAGCGGGTCTCTGGTCACACTTCATGCAAGAGGCAGCTGAATTGGACGAAATCTTAAGAACAGAATCAGGGTTTGCTATTGATGTATCGCCATACAATCAGCATCCAATTCTAGATAAAACTCTTTCACTATTTTCGGGGCTTTCTGTAGGACAAGGTCAGCTACTTGCACTTTGCCGGGCGCTCGTCAAGGCTCAGACAGCTCAGCATTCTGGTCGAAAGCCCGTTGTTCTTTTAGATGAAGTCACTTCTTCCCTTGATCCTGTTACAGAGTCAGCCATATACGATATTATTGACGACGAATTTACTCGAAAGGGTCATACGGTCATATGTGTAGCTCACAGAATTGATGTATTGTCAAAGCACATAGAGACCGGAAGAGATGTTGTAGTATTGTTGAGCAATGGCCGGTTGCAGGAAGTAATCACAGATTTGAATACCACGATGTTGGAAAGGCTTGGGAGATTAGACTGATTAAGTGTATGTTGTTATGTTGCTAATAGACGAAGAATTTGTATTCGGTATACTACAATCAAGTAGTATGGCATCATATCACCTGAAGTTATGGTCATCAAGCCTAGTGCTTCTTAGCTCTAGATCTCTTGTAGACATACCTTAATACGTAACTTACCTGAATCGGACAAGTATCTTCTCTATAATATACATAGGCAGCTTTAGTATCCATGTAGGTTAACCGAGGGGGGCATTCACCATTTGGCCATGAGATATCGATGTATATATGTGTGGTATGCTGCTGGCTAGCTCCGATAGAATTTCCATCTGCCCACCTACTTAAATGAGCAAATATAAATATGCTGTTTTGACTTCAGCCCCTGGAGGTAGTACTCATTATATAATCTCAGGTTTTGTCGTTATGTCAGTCGTGGCAGATTGTTTGCTAGTCACACATTCGTTGCTGGGGCAACATTGATGTTTGATGTTTTTGCGGACGGAGCTTCATCAAAACTTTGAAATGATTGCAAGATACATCAATTCAACCGACACTTGAATATTGGTACAAGATACTTTTCAAGGGAGTGGACCAAGGATTTGATTTTTTTTAATACGGTTCTTTGATTTTCTGATTTCATTTCGCATAATCACTCATTCTATTTTTTCCTCTGCTCTGTTGTCTTCATATTTATTCTTTGCTTCCTTGAATAGTGATCATGTCTGTAAGAGGTCAGTACTTTCGCACATAACAATTCAATTTTCTCTTAGGCTTACCTATTGTCAAATAAGTTGTTGCAAGGATACGTCCTCTTCTTCCAAAGGAATTAGACAAAGATACCATCGTGCGCGCCGAGAGCAGTCAAGACAGCAAAACTTTCAATGTAGTCCGGATACCGAACCCCAAAAATGAATCAGAGGAGTTTAGTTTCACCTTCAATGGTGTCTACGATATGGGAACGTCACAGGAGGAGCTCTTTACGAATGAGGTTGCCCCTACGCTAAAATCATTGTTCCAAGGACTTGATGTTACACTGTTTGCATATGGAGTTACTGGAACGGGGAAAACACATACAATGCGGGGCGGGACGAAGTTGGCAGACCGTGGAATTATTCCTCGATTATTAAGTGGAATATATCGCCGTGGTCGTAAGGTTGCTAAGGATTCTGGCGAAGAAACCTCTGTCACTGTTACATTGTCTTATTACGAAATATACAACGATAAAGTTTTCGACCTATTCGAGTCTCCCGATAAACGATCTCTTGCTGGATTACCTCTTCGAGAAAAGGATGGGAAAACAATAGTAGTTGGGCTGTCGGAAAGGTCCTGCAATGATCTGAAGGATTTCGAAAAGTTATATATAGAAGCCAACAACAACCGGAGCACAGCAGGAACCAAACTCAATGCGCAAAGTAGTCGAAGCCATGCCATCTTGATGGTCAAGGTAACACAAACCACTGGCGATGCGTCTTTAATCAGTACTGCATCCGCGATCGATTTAGCAGGATCAGAGGACAACCGGAGAACAGATAACGGCAAGGAGAGAATGATTGAATCTGCAAGCATCAACAAAAGTTTGTTCGTGCTCAGTCAGTGTATTGATGCTATTGGTAGAGGGGACAAAAGAATTCCATATCGAGAATCTAAAATGACACGAATTCTCAGTTTGGGTCAAAACAACGGTATCACTATAATGATCTTGAATCTTGCACCCTTACGATCTTACCATTTAGATACTTTGTCTTCTTTGAATGTAAGTTCAAGAGCAAAGAGAATAGAGGTTAGAGAGATCGAGAATGAAGTCGTATTCACTCAACCACCCAGGAAAGTAGCTGGAACTAGTATGCAACGACAGCCATTGAGGCCTATTACGAATTCACATAATGCTGTAGCCAACCCAGCACAAAAGGCTGACAAGCCCGCAAAAGCTTTCTCTGTATACACAGATAAAAGTAAAGCAACTACAGCGCGGCCATCAAACACCACTCAAATACTCCGAAAATCGAGCTCGAATAAGAAAAGGCCATCTGATGGAGTTATCGGTTCGCGGGTCACCAAACCCACTAGACCTACACCTTTTGGATATAAGTCGGCCACAGCTGATATCTCTGCAGCCAAGATTGAGGAAATGGTTGAGCGCAAAGTCTCGGAAATCCTTGCCAACCGTGCCTTGGAACGGACATCGAATTCAGCACCTAGTGAGATTAGTGAAGCTGTTCAGAAAAGACTCGAGGCATTAGAAAAGAAAGTTGATGAAAACTCGGCGGAAGATGCGAGATCTGAAGGTCTCAGGTTTCTGCTCATGGCGAGACAACACAAAGAGCGCGGTGAAGAAAGTAGTGCTCTGAAGATGTATGAGTAAGTTATTACCCAGCCCGTCAGCAAGCTCAAGTAACTTAACTAATTTTTTTTTTTTAGAATGGCACTTCCTTTCTTCCCAGGGCAAGAGAAATTGCTGAAGAAGATTGAGCATCTCAAAGCTAAAATGCAAGCAAAGAATGCTGGTGTTGCGGCCAAGCACTCAGAGCCTGTAGAAGCAGAAAGGCGAAAGCCCACTGCTCCATTCTTACAGCTGCCAACGCCTGCTAGTTCGTTTCAACAAGAGGAAGAGGAAGAGGAAGTACGACCCATGTCAAGAAAGGGGTCAAAGCCCGATGCTGAGTATGACGCGTCCTTCGTACACCAAGAGGATCATTACGAAGATGAAGATAGCTTTTCATGTCGAGCTGCCAAGTCAAAAAAGTCGAAGTCTAAATCGACAACCAAATTACGTGTGTTCAACGATGAAGCATCTATTGCCCCGCTAGAACCCCAAACGCCTCGAACAAGGCATTTATTAGATATTGTCAACTCTAGAGATGTTGGCATGATCAGAGGCCTGTGTGGTGTAGGTCCTAAGAAGGCTAGAGATGTGGTTGAGTTTCTGGAGCTACAGAATGAGGACGATGGTGGTCAGATTAAGACATTACAGCAGCTCAGAGCAATCCCGGGACTAGGTAGCAAGACAGTAGAACGGGCGTACGATGGCATAGTGTTATTAGTTTGAACTTTGAGTCGATTTGCATTTTAGGATTGGGATGTCCGTGCATGAATTGCCTATTGGGAGCGGCATTACTGGGAGTTTGGTTGGTGTATAGGCTATGAGAATTAGCGGGCATTGTTGAATTGGGGTATTGTCTATTGGTTATTTAATGATAAGGATTATTAAACATGACATCTTTACTGGGGACTGTCATCATCGGCTGAGTACATAAATGACAAGTGCTATGTCAAGTGATGAAAATTCGTGGATATTCTCCGCGAAGGTTTGAGAGGAGATGGGTGAATACTGAATATCGCCGGAGTTGAATCCTCTCGATCCAGTGATTATGAATAGGAAGTCTAGCGGACACTATTTTTTTCTTTCTCTCTCCATCATATAGCCAGGAATGAAATTGATTATAGAAAAGAAAATGCATCCTGCCATCCAGCCATCCATGCCAGGTTACTAGATTACTCATGTGATTAACCTCGATGTTTTTGCCTCACCCCAACCTGTGGCGGCAGCGATACCTGGTGCCTCGATATCATAAATAACACAAACAACAACACGTCAGATGGGCTTTAATTACACAAGTAGTGTATCTGGCAGCCGGATAGTTGAGCCACACACTACATACGGGAAGGTGCAGATCAAGGAAACGTATTTGTAGTCGGAAGACAAGTGTTTTGCATGGAACCGCCATATGTGGCTCATTACAAAACCAGCCGATAGCGCGAACAAGAATCGTGGCTTGAAAATTGTGATTGAACTAGAGATAGAGAACTGAGTAAGTGGTCGGATACGATCGGCAGTAAGTCTCGGTCGGATAAGTACAATAGGGGCTATGATCGGCACGGATCTTTTTCCTCCTTCTCTTTCACACACACAAACCCCCTATGAAAGTTTTCTAGCCCCATTATCCTATTTTCCCAAGCATTCGAGGATCTCCTTGTTGTATGAGCCACAATCGAAGACCCGTGGAATCATCAAGCGAGCTCTGCCTTATGCAGGGAGTACCTCCCGTCACATCGCACGGCGATCTCATATGCAAATCTCGGGACGTTTTCTGCAGGTAAAAACGGCGGTGCTGGGGAAGGGGATATAACCAAAATGGTGGTGGCACAGGCAGCTATACAAGCTAGACATGGTAGCTGTGCTGACCCTGAGGCTTATCGGTTAAAAGGTTCCGAGGAAGAAAACGGTGCTGAAAAGTCTTCACACGATCGGCAAAGGTCTAGACCGGTGATTTCTATTAGTTTTTCTTCATTCGGTTTTCAGGGTCTTTTTACCATCTGTGTTATTCCCTTGTTCGGAAATAAACACGCTATGATATATTGATACATATGGGGTGCGCGCTAATGTTCTTGTTTGCTTTGGGTGGCAGGGTGGCGAATTTTTCGGATTCGGGGACCTAATTGGATTTGCTGGGTTATTTACTATGTTAGATGGTATTAGATGATCTACATTGTCCATATGTATATTTATATATATGATGCCATACCATGGGTAGCTGCATATAAATGTACCATGTCAATCATTCAAATGACGATCCTCATCCATCTCCATGTCCATCATCTCATCTTGGCACATTTTCCCACACTCTAAAGATTTATACACAAACCTTAACAACCAACTTTTTCATTCTGATACTAAACTCTATTTCAACCCCACCGCAATTTTCCCTAGCTCGAACCATCCGGGTACACAACCCCCCACGAAATTTTTCATTCCGAATACCCTAAAACTGGCCCGTGGGAAAGCTAGGTGAAGAAACTACATATATCAACATCATAGTATCCTTAGCCCCTTTTGACTTCTTGCCGGTACTCGGCCCGGGTGCCTAAAGATTCCTTTCTCGCGGTGACTGGATTACTTGTAGGTGTGAAGAGGATTGTCTTATTATTGGAGCTACGATTCCTGATTATATAGACCCACAACCATCATCGTGCTTTCCATATTGAGCCTGACAACGATGGAAATATGTAAACTCTAGTGTTCATTTAGTGCTGTGTTAGTGCTCAGTGGATTAACATCACGATTCATGATTCAGGAGATAGATTGCTCCAACGACGGATAGGTATCTTGTGTATAGCAAGCGCGCTGTTTAGGCCTAATATGGCAAGTACGATGATGAGTGGGTCTATGTAGTCAGGAATCATAACTCCAGTAATAAGGTAACCCTATTCATACCTACAAGAATAATATCTTTAGCGCTATAACTTTACATCTCCACAATATCGACAGTCTATATACATACATACATTAACCCAGCAGTTGAGACTCGCACGCCAAGAATATACCAAAATTAGAATGCACACACGCAAAAGCACAAGCACAAAAGTACGAGGTTACCAAGAGCTGTAGCTAGTTAGCCAGCCATTTATCTACCTACCTATTCCTAGGTAAGCTAAGCTAAGCTACGCTATAGCTACAGCATCAAGTATAGCTACCAGCTACCAGCTACTACCACCCCCAAGCTACCATCCACAAGCTGGAAAAGTGAATTATCATAATAGTAAAGCTATCCACTGTACTATACCATACCCCTAGGGGTATGAAAACCCATTCACTTATAACTTATATACCTTTCTGTACTAGCCTCCATTTCTCCAACTACCAGCTATAAACCACCTATCTTAAAACAAACCCAGTTCTCAGATACAAAAACCCCATGGATACTGTACCTCCCACACCGTTAGCCTGGTCTCTCGACCTAATCTATCTCTAGCTCATTCATTCTCCATATATTCAATCCATACTATCAATTCTCCATTCCATCCCATTCCATCCCTTTCTATATCCATAGCACAAAAAGTCTAATGCATGGATACCTCTTACTTAGAAGTTTATTTTAGTGTGCATTCAGATCGTTTTTCTTTTTTCACATTTAACTACATTTATTTTAATATAGTTCTAGTTAATAATTATACATTAGATTAAATCAAATATTCAATTCTACCAAATACAATATTAGACTCAATAAAATAAAATCAAAATGGCAAATCTAATATATATATATATATATTCAAACCTTTTCATATAATATAATAATCAATAATAAGATTTTTAATATTCCTTAAGTATACAAACAGCTAGTCTCACTCAAATATACTCAATATTTCTATCAAACCAAACAAATCATTTCTAATATTTTCTAGAAAATCAATCCGAATGAACACACCCTTTCTGATTTATACTCGAGTATATTATATAGGTACATAGAGCAATGTAATCTTGGATCACTCTGATAAAATCCACTCCGATCCTCAACCCAACTAACTTAACTCAACTTGTAATCCCCCCCCCCCCCTCCCGGAGTTGAAAGTGGGACTGGACGTAAAGGGGGAAGGTGGAGGCGTTTGTTTTCATTTTATATGCCTTCCAACCTATTGTCCTCACTCACTTATCCGAATTATGTGCACCTGGGACTTCCAAGACACCTTTGAAATGATGTGTAAAAATCATTTCAGAG